CAACTCCTATGTAGTCCTGCGGATACTGACGAAGAGTTAAGGACCGGCCGGGGGGGCCGTTACAGCAGCCTAGTGATGCACGGCTCCTGCAAGAACAGGTGCCTTGCATGAATGGAAAACGAGTGAATGCGCAGATGCATGCGGCGGTATCCGTAGCCTGTGGACGTCTGGTGATGAGGTGCCAGTGGGTGCAAAGAGCAGGGGCCTACGGGAGTCGGGGAATTGGTTTGTTGGAACGTGGTGTTCGTGGGTAGTGTGGTAGGTAGTTTGTAGATTCGACCTGGAGGGGGCCAGAGGCTGGAATCATCGGATGCTATTGGATACGCTCCGTTGGGATCGACATAGGGCCTGAGGATGCAGCATCCCACCATCCATCCATCCCACCGTGTCACCGTCGCTGCCGTTCCTGTGTGCCTGCAGCGCGGCCGGCCAGTGCCTGCGTATGTGGAGAAGAGAGCGAAAAAGAGGCGAGATGGGGCCGCCGTCAAGAGTCAGGACGAGACACTAAGACGCAGACTAGGGGGCTTTCTGAGCCAGCTCTAGGGCCAGATCTGGAGCCAAGAGGCACGGACGAAGACATGGCGCAAAGTAGCTTGCAGGCGTAAGCCGCAAGCGCAGAATGACGGGCAAGTAGTTCGGATGACAGACGACCGGGCAGAGTCTCTTGCGGCGTCCGGAAGCATGGCGGCATGACCAAAGTCGAGGAAGACGGAGAAGCTGAACTGGAGTCTAGAGACCAGAGAAGGCCGACTAGGTCAGAGGCTGACTGAGAGAGCGCGGTAGCTCTCCCGCACTCTGCAGAGGGCGGCATCCTGCGGAATACAACGGGCTAGCCGAAGAATATGAACCTTATGGGCCGGAAACTCTCACCTCTCCGGTTGGGCCAACACTACTACGTAAGTAGGTACCTCAGGTATGCCTCACCTCAGTCTTGGCCCAGGATCAGAAGGTCCTGATGATTTTTATCATGGTCGGCTGGCCGAGACCGTTTAAGAGCGGAGAACATCGTAGCAGAATTGGGGAGAATCTAAACGATAGTTGCTGAGTGGATGATGTACTATGCAAGATGAAGGATTGAGCAGATGCACAATAGTTGAAAATGAAAGTTCAGATGCCGATTTCTGCTGCGCGCGTTGGGTGTCATGGGTGTGTCGGACGGACCCTGGACACTGTGGGGATGATTTGCGAGTGTTTCCTATTGATGTGGGTTTGAATGGGAAACAACGAGAAACAAATTTGCTTTGCAATTGGAGAAGGTGCCCACGGGCCACGGACCCACGGTGCCTGAGTACCCAGCAACGACTGACCAAGGCCAGGCTTCCGACGTCGGCTGGGGGGAAGGGTATTTTCAAATGTTGTCGGTTGGAACTTGGAAAAGTAAGGCAAGGTAAGGTAGTCTTCATTTACCAGCTGGACGGTCATGGCCATCTGCTGGTCTGGCCCGAAATGGCGAGGCCTGGTGCTGATGCAAGGGCACGGTTGACGATGCAGATACCGGGGCTGCATGTTTGTGATGAAGCGAACGAACAGAGTGAGGAAGTCAGACGAGTGAGAATAGCGATAAGAACGTTAGCCATGGCTTAAGATGTTACATACCTACGGTATTACCTTGGGGGAAGAAGAGAGAGACCTAAAGTATTTGAGTTCCGCATCTCATGCTTCGGTGGAAGGACGGACAACCCAGGGCGCCGCCCAAGATAAAAGTAAGGTACCCTGAGGTAAGGTAGGTAAGGTAGGTACCTGACCTTGCTGTTGTAAGAGACAAAACGAGCCGGAAGGAGGAGACGAGAACCAACAGATATCTAAGGTAGGCACGTAATAAGCTAAGGTCAAGTACCTAGGTAGGTATGTAGGTATGTCAGTACCTGCCCAAGACGAGACGGGAAAGAGAGAGACGGACATGCACCGATCCCCACGCACCATGGCAGGAAGGAAAGACCGACGTAGAAGAGTCAAAGAAGGAGCGAGGTGGAATGCGCGCCACGTTCTGTTTCTGGACAAGACCAATGAGACGTGACGCCACCAACACTTCCGGCAGCAGAAGGAGCAAACAAACATTCCAATTCCCTGCCGGCCCTGCCTGCCTGTGCGGCCTGCCTGCCTCGCCTGCTTCGCCTGCCTCGCCTGCCTCGCCTTCCCTGCCAAAACCGTCTTGCGTGGTTGCAACTTGCGTGAGATGCTGCGTTGGTTAAGGTAGGTAGGTAGCTTCTTGGTGGAGGACCGGGAGGGCAGTGCGTCCCACGCTCTCACTCCCACTCCCACCATTCCCAACTTTATCCTCTGGGCTCGTTGCTTTTTCTTCCTCCAGGCCAGGGCACCACGTTGCCGATCATTTTGGTCTTGATGCTACGCAAGGTACTTACAAGATCTAGCCGCTCTTCAACCTGTTTATCCTGCTGATTCTAGTGTACCTGAACAAACCTTAGATGCTTACATCGCATCTTCCATCCCCGGTCACCAGCGGTTGTGTATCATCAACTCCTTCTGTCGACCTTTGCCTCACACGATATCACATCGACTGTGGCATGACCTCCCTTCCTTTCGGCTCTCTCCCGATACTATTTTGAAGAGCCTGCATCGTGTTTCTTTCCCTGCTTTCCATCATAAGTGTTCATGCCGAAAAAGAATCAGAAAAAATAGGCATGTTCAGCCGTGGAGGGAGAGGGAGAGACGAACACGTGCACAGACATCCGGGGAGGCGTGGCTCAGCTAAGGGGAGGGGTGAGTGGAGGGGGGAGCTCTGTCAGAGTAAACATTGTCAAAAGCTCAATCATGTATGAATGGGCACGATAAAATAGCAGGATGGGGGGGGAAGACAGGGGTGCAGGACAAGGCGAGAAGAGAAGCGAACAGGCCATCAGTCAAGTTAGAACTTGACTGAGTTCCCTTGCAATTGGCTTTGCTAGAAGATGGATCTTGGTCTTGAACTGACCGGCTATCAGCGTGAACCGGTGGGGGAAAACGGGATGAGATGACGAAGGCTGAGGGGAGAGAGCGAGACATGAATCCCTGTTCAAAATGGGAGCCATGCCGTCAGTTCAAGAGGGAAGCGATGCGTCTCGTCACTTTTGAATGTCCGCGCCGGTAGCAACATCAGACGAGGCAGATGCAGCACCACCCGTGCAATTGTGGCAGGAAATCCATCTTCAGACTTCATATGGGAGGAAGGTGTCCTCCCACCTTAGCGATGCCTGCCCTGTCTTTACATCCCCTGTTGCTTGTTGGTGAGCAATGTCGTGCCGCGCCGCGCTCCTCCTCACATCGTCTCTGCCGCTATTTCATGTTGGTGTATTTGCGTCGTTTACCGCCCCCGTCAACATTGACCAGTTTCGTGTACACGTCCAGAGCCCAGACATTGCAGGAACAAGGCATGGCATGGCATAACATAGCAATGGTTCCGTGCCGCGTTGGCCACTTGGGACCGCCTGACACGAGTAATCATAATGGCAGCCGACGATATGGCCGAGCTCGCGATATGGACACACAACCTAACACCAGGATACCGGACACCAGCTTCCCCCGGCCTCAGCAGGGGCGGGGATCTTTCTCGCTCGCTTTAACCGAAGACGGCCAAACAGACACAACAGCACCAACAGATGGGTTGCCATTCGGTGGTGAGGGCTTGGTAAGGCTGGTACGGCCGCCCGGCGCCGCTTTCAACCCCATGTCCGAATGCGGCAATCAGCTAGATGCTCTTTCGGACACAGAGAAGCCAGCGACGGCATAGAAGGGAGGCTAAAGCAAAAGAAGCAGAGTCCCAACTTGCCCAGATGCACATGCGTAACATGTAGACATAAAACCATCCAGCCCGGCCGAACGCTTTTCTTTCACTCCCCATCTCGCCCCTCCCCTCTTGCAAAGGGTTGAATGAATGAATACTCTCATCGGTTCTCCCTTCTGACAAAGACCGACTTCCCTTGGCTTTTTCTATATGCCTCTGGGGTTCTTTGAACACGACCAGGATCTCTTATTCGCTTGAAATTCAGATTCAGATTCGGATTCAGATTCAGATTGAGACCCTCAGATATCCATCTGGCACCCTCTCCCCCCCCCTCTCTCTCTCCTCTAACACACATACACACCCACATCATCCACACATACAGCCATCTCAGCTCAACTCAGCTCAAGTCAGCTCACCCTTGCCTTCTATTCCCAATTCAACTCCCCACCTACCCCTCTGCAACACCGCCGCACTCCCGTCCAGCGTGCGCATGACCAGGCCCTCACCCAAGAGAAGGACCAAGAAAGAAAGAGAAAGAAACCCTGCTGGCAAGGAGACGAGGAGCGGCAACCCATCACCATCTTCACCCAAAGTTGCTATCTTGGGACCGGAAGAGCGGGGATCAGAAGAATAGCCAATGTGCACCGGAGAGGAGCAGAGAAAGGAAAGAAAAGCACCGAGGAACAACGAGAAGCGAACAACCGCCTGAACAACAACAAGAACACTCAAAGCCGATAAGAGAAAGCCCGAAGATACCACCCGAGAGCATCAGCACTCTACCGCCTCTCTCTCACTTGCTCTCGCCCCCACCTATCATCAAAGAGAAAGAAGACAGGCTATTCATGGAGTTTCGTATGCTTGGCCTCTCGTCATACTACCAACCCTCATAAGCCTGACCCTGACCAGGCCTGACCAGGCCTTCATCAGTCGGACATTGTGGTTGCTTCCCATATCCCAGGGGAACGGTTCCAGATCACCACTGATCCCTGCTTCTCGGCTGCTTGCAACCTCGTTCACCCGCCCTCCATCTTGGCCATCCCTGGTCCCTGCAACACCGCACCGCAACTCACTGCATACTTGCAGCTGCAGCTGCGTCTGCAATAGACATACGGATCAGAGACACATACACAGGCAGAGACTCCAGGTACTTGCTGGACAGCCAACGGCACAAGGGCCTCTCAGGAACGAGCTGCCCGTAGTATCTCTGCCTCTCTCTCTCTCTCTCTCTCTCTCTCTCTCTCTCTCTCTCTCTCTCTCTCTCTCTCTCTCTCTCTCTCTCTCTCTCTCTCTCTCTCTCTCTCTGTGTAGCCCTCCCTCCACTCTTTGGTTACCGAGGACTACTACTTACTCCCCCGTCCGATCCATCCCACCTAGCTCACCCTCTCCTCCTTTCTCATGCACACACCACCCCCTGGCTAACACCACCATCGGCTCCTCGACATCTACTGAATGTAGATAATCTGTGGGTGCAGCTGCCTCTTTCAAGCCATCTGCTCCACTGCTGCCATACCTGTCTTCTTCCCTCTCGCCTTTACTCACCTGGGAGCCTGCGTCGGCTGCCATACACATCCGTCACCTGACCCAGGCCTTGCCTCGTGTTACCATCGGAGTTCAACACTTGCCTGTCGTCCACCGACTACTTTACCCATACACAAGTGCCGAGACAGCCGCAAGTGAAGACGAAAGCAAATCCACCAGAATTAGGAAAAGAAGCAGAACCCCCCCGAAGATCTGCAACACTTGAGATTCAGGCAACATCGAGAGAAATCCCTTGGTCTGCTTCATCGTCTTCCAGTCCACCGTCTTCGCCCTCTCCTTGCTACCTGGTTAGCCAACACTGGTTGCAGTCGAAGACAGATAATTCCAACAGCTTTCCTCATTGCTTTTAGCTCTGTGGAATGGAACAAAACGGTCCCCCGTCTCCTGCTCCCTCGAACGATGATATCTACCCGAACGGACTGCATCACTTGATACGCCCGGAAGGAGCCACATCCTACCCGCGAGAACACTTACATCCGAGTGATATGGGAGGCATGCAAACTCCCTCTCGATACGGTACGCCTGGTCCACAACAAGAAATGCAATACGATCACCACTCCCCATACTCACATCGCCCACATGATGGTCAGATGGTAAGCAGTCCCGTCCCGAGCTCAGCTCCACGTGTGTCAATATAGCATGTACTAAACAGGCCTCGACAGTCGTATAGTCATGGATATGACACAAGCGTCAGCTCCATATATGGCCCCATGTCCGGGGAGTTGAGCCACCAGGTAAGCAACTTCGTTGTTAAACTTGGCAATACAGACACTCACACGCTTCCTGACAGCCGTACAGCACCCCTGACACGTCGCCACCCACGCCGTCGAGGCCACCAGATGGGTTGACCACACGTAGTGGTCTCAACATACAGAAGGGGCCGACTACCATCAAGCCGCTTGCAGTGAGAGCATCACGTGTTGAAAAGTCAACGCCCAAGAAGAAGAAGGAGCGGGCAAAGTCTGCCAAAAAGGTTGATGTCGTTAAGAGCCCACTGAGCGAATTGGCAAAGGAGCAACCGCACATCCCAGTTGCGGACATTGGGGCCTATGTCCAGCGATCTTCAGAAATACGGATGAAGGAAGTTGAAGAGAGCAAGACCCCAGGCCGAATCAAGCGACCGATGAACGCCTTCATGTTGTACCGCAAGGCGTATCAGAACCTCGCCAAAAGCCTCTGTACGCAAAATAACCATCAACTTGTATCTCAGGTCTGCGGTGCCGGCTGGCCTTTGGAGCCGGAACACATTCGGGACCAATTTAATGAATGGGCGAAGGAAGAGCGCGCGAACCACCAGCTTGCTCACCCGGGCTACAAGTTCACGCCTTCGAAACCAAGACCCAAGGCGAGAGAAGAAGAGGACTCGGACCAAGGCGACATGGACGACATGGAATGGAATGGCAGCCGCGCAAGCTCAAGGAGCAGACAAGTAAGGAAACCCGGACACGGCAGGAACGAAGCACCAGCGTCCATCTTCCACAACTACCCGCCACTGCAGACGAGTCCCATGGGTCTCGGCGTGCAGACACAGTCCATGTACCATTACAGCAACCCGGGAAAACCTCTCCCAGCACCATACAGTCAAAACGGCCTTGGCGGCGGCCAGTACTACCAGCAGAGCGTCCACCAGCGTCAGGACGCCACCGGCTTTGTTGAAGACGTGCTCATCAGGAAGACGCCATCACCAGCGATGGGCTACGCAGCACCATCGATGGACCACCGGTACGACGGCATTGACCACTACGGCCCAATGTCGCATCCTGACGGCATCGATCCGATAATCGATCCGGGTCTAATGGGCCATGGAGGTCATCCGTACGGCGACATGTATGGCAATCACATGCTACCGCGATGGACGAATCCGCTCAACTTTGGCGACGGAAGGCAGGAACTGATTGATGGTATGGGTTATGATGAAAGTCTTCTGACAGACCCTCAAATTCAGATCCTGAGAGGACCAGAGAGCAGTTGGAGAGTGGAGGAGCTTGACAGCAGCCACTTCACCAACAGTTGGATAGAACCAGAATGAGCGGAAGGAGATTTGCTTCGGAATCGACTCGCTCCCGTTGTTTGAACATTGTCCGAGAAAAGGAAGGGCGTCAGGAGTATTGGGTATCTTAGAACGTAGGCGGAAATCTCATTTCTGTTTGGTTTTGTTGAGACTGGAGATGAACCATGTTATTGAGGGTGGTCCTTGGGCAGACGAGAGTGCAGTAAGAAAAGGGGAGAAGACGAGGAGAGAGGCCCGGGACTTGCCCCGTCGAGGGCGCACACACCATACTACCTTAGCTAAAGGCTCTCCAAATACAAGTACCTACTTATTGCTCCAGCTTGCAGTGCCTTCCAAATAGACCTGCCGTCTCCAAAGTCGAAACAGTTGTTGATCAGTAGAGGTGATTCCAACGCCACGTCCCTCGGGTCCGCTTCTAGAGATGGCTGGCAGCTTGAGAGCGAAGTGAGGTTCCAGATTCCTTGTGAACACGAGGTTTTATAATCTGGTAACAAGGTCCAGCCGTTGATGTGTTTCCTGGGGTGCTAATGCACGAGTGACAATCCAGAGGGGGAAGGAAGTCTGACGGTACGCGTGGGGTCGCGCCGTATGTAACTAAGCCAGGTATGGAACTGTCTTAGTACGTTATCAGGAGCTTCGTTTGTGCACTATCTTCTCCTCCGCAAAGTGACACTCAACCACTTTAACGAGGCTACAGCAACTGCCAAAGCTCCCGGCGCCATCAACCTCAACATTGAAACCATCCTAGCTACCTTAGTAGCCTGGTCTATCCTGCACGTCACCCTTCGCCCACTCCACATACTGAGCTCTTGAGCTGCTAAGGTACGTCTGGGACAATCTCAAATTTTCTCCGGCATCAAATCAGTCAACAAAAACAAGTGTTGATATTGAAGCAGCTGATCAGTATTGCACCAACAGGCTCGCGTCATTTACGCTCTTACATCATGACGTGGATCTCGCGCTCGATCACGGCCATTGGCCTCCTTCTCCTCGGCCATGCGTGAGTCTCTCTCCCACGTTCCGTTCCCCAGCTAGCCTCGCAATTATTTTGACACCTACTCTGTTGAACAGATGCTACTCTGCACAAGAACACTCTGCGCTGCAATCCTTCCGAGCAGCTTCGCCTTTAGCAACATCTGCCTCAGCCACCACGTCGCTGCCGGCGGACATCACAATCGAGGCGGCCGTGGCGACCCTCATCGTCGTCCTGGGTATGGTCTTGGGCGCACCCAACCTCCGGCCGATCGAATGGCGCGTGTGGGCAGGCAAAATTGAACGAGAGGGCGAGATGGGATTCCTGACGGGCAGCGGGGAGGTGGAGAAGGACTACGTTGGCAACCCGTTTCGCATTCTGGAGAGCCGGCCCGGCTTCGCCGACATTCGGAAACAAAAGAGAGACTTTACGAACTGGGTCAAGGCTGGAGGAAAGGCTGGAACCGCGGCCAAGTCGGGTTGAGCTCTGGAATGGCGAATGAATATAGTCAATCCAACAACATCCCTGCAACGTATTTTCAACGTGGGCACGCCCATATCAGAGTTCTCACCGCAATGGCCTCGGAAGACAGGTCCCCGGCTTCGGGCTACGATGAATTTGACCCCTCATCATGCAGTAGGCAAGGTATCTAGACCCAGTGCTTCTTTCAACACTGAATCAAGAATTGTAGAAAAGGATAACCCAAGGGGGTACGAACGACAGAGATGACTATTCCACTTCCCAGGTACATCGACATCGTAGAAGTGCTCGAGGTTGCGTTGGGAGGCAACCTGGCTTCATCAAAGTTGATTACCTAGATTAAATACCCGCTCATACGTAGCCCCGACGGTTGCACATGCAGGCAACCATCAAGAAGATGAGCAAAGGTTCGCGGTTCCGCCGTGCTTTCTTTGGGGCACCCAAATGGCTCGGCAGAGCTAGGTTGTCAACGTGCGCCAGGAGCGCCTTCTACACAAGATTAGGCAAGTACCTTGGGCACCTTGCCTTACCAACCTTCCCATTGTCTCCGAGGCAAGAACGACTGGATTGGGACAAGTTCAGGTCCCTGGCATTTGGAGCTGAGAATTACCTGAACCTTCCGCAAGCGAAATCAGGCCACCCTTACCTGGACATGTTCGTGGTAGTCGACCTGCCTCCTACCACTACCTAGGTAAGTTCTGCCATTCTGGGCTTCTCTTCGTCTGCTTTTCGGATTGTCCACATAATAAACCACGCTTGTATTGCCAAGCGTTTCTTTCCTTCAAGGACACATATTGCTCACTGTTGCGCCTCGCCGTGTCTAGTCATAGACGCCTCGTCATTCCGTCACATTCACCTGCACGCCCAACAATGCCGGGACGAGGCAGCGCCAAGTCCAGTGCTTGGCGTGGTCGACCTCGCAGGGGTTTCCTCCACGGAAGTTCCAGAGACCGGTCGAGAGGTGGCTCGCAGAGGGGCTCGCGGGGAGGCCGACAAGGTGAATCAAGGACTGGCTCGGATGGCAGCTCAAGAGGGAGCTCGTATACACCTCGTCGTTCGAGGGGATCTTCCGCTCGTGCATATCGAGGATCGCACGGCAGTTCCAGTGTCGTTGGTCCACACCACACCTCGCCCATTTTCTCGAGCCCTCGTGGTACCCGTGTACCATCACTTGAGAAGATTTCGCTATCTGCAGGACAATACATTGAAGATACCGAATATCAAAATCACCCCGTGGACCCCGCGAATCGACTATCACTACCGTCCAAGAACCATCTCTTGCACTCGATTGCTACTAGAGTCGAATCCGGCAATGGTCAAGTGCCCCTACCACCGTCAGGCAGCGAGTGCGAGACACCGTCACTCCTTGGCAGAGAAGGGACGGGTCAACTCGAGCGGAGGAACGAGGTTCTTATGGCCATTTCCGTTCAAGTGAAAGGTATCCTTGGGTGTGCCTATTACGATACAGACGAAAACAGCTTGTTTCTTCTGCAGGATATGTCCTGTACCGCGCCGTTGCAGTTTGTCGAAATGCTCATGCTGCACATTCAACCAACGACCGTCTTGTTACCCCTGAAAGTACCGGATGTGATTCTTCACTTCTTTGAGAAATATCAAAGTAATGTGGACCGAGGTTAGTCATTTCTTGAGACAGGGGCAGTGATTTTGAGCGCTGATGAATTCTTCTCATAGGATCTGAAAGGGACAACTACATTCTCCGACTTCTAGGTTCAAATGAATTCAGCCACGCGGCTGCTATGGAGAGGTTAACGAATTTACCGATCGCCGCCTCGGAACATGCTTTGGTGACGAATACAGGATTCGGTCTCTCCAGTCGTGGCTTGCAGGGTCCCGGAGAGGAATGCCAAGATGTCAAAACGATGCGTCTCGGATCTTTCGTAGATCTGGAGAGCGTTGCATCAGTAAGCTTTGATGAAGAAAATGCTATGTTTGTGAAATGTAATTCTGACACATATAGATTGGCTGTGCCGGTGCCGTGCTGTGCGAGACTATGCGACTTCAAAATGTTCAACGGGCGGCAGAAAATATAGAGAGAGCTTTCGGAGTGTCGCTGCGGATGTTTGCTTTGGCGGACTTCATGTTTGTAAACGCCGACACGCTCTCCTCCCTCCAAGTATTCCAATCCGAACTACATCCGAGTAACCTGATCTCCGGCACGGGAAAAGCAGTCTCTGGTTCGAAAGAGAGCCTATCTCTATTCGGCATCTTTCACCCACTCGCTGGCACCCCTCAGGGCAAGGCACGGCTCAGACAACTCTTCTTACGCCCACTAGTCAATATCGACGTGATCCGCGAGAGGCAAGCAACCATTGCGGTATTCCTGCAACCGGGGAACGAAGAGGCCTTTTCGAGCATATCTCAGGGACTACGAAAGGTCACAGACATCAAGAAAACTCTGGCTCAGTTGCAAAGAGGCGCAGCAGAGTCTCCGGCTGGTTGCGCTTCAATCGAGCGTGGTGTTTAGTGGACACTTACTCGATTTTCGCTCCATGTGCTACGGCTCAGAGACTCCATACTTCAGCTGCAAAACTCCAACGGCCTTGTCATCATACATAAGGTCAGCCATGGTAACAACTCGTCTGACGAAGGGAAAGCTGACTCTATCAACCAGATGGTCCAGGACGTCACAGTGGACAAACTGACGGCAATTATAGATTTAGTAGGGAACGTTGTCGATTTCGAGGAAACCAAAGCAAACTCACGCATCGCTGTGAGATTACACGTAAACACTGAACTCGATGAACTGAAACAGACTTACCAAGGGCTAGAATCCCTCTTAAACGAGGTTAGCACAACGTTGTCGTTGGAGCTCCCGACGTGGGCTCGCAAATTCGTCACAGGCTGTGTGTTTTGGCCGCAACTAGGCTTCCTCACTGTTGTCCCTTTACTCGAGGGCACTCAGGCAGGCTACGAAGGCCAAGGACTGTCCGGTGACCGTTGGGAGCAAAGATTCACGGCGAACGACAATGTCTACTTCAAGAACAACCTCATGATGGAGCTAGATGAACACTTCGGGGACACTTACAGCAGGATTGTTGGTTCGTGGCGAAGTCCTACTGACAAGATGCTTACCTAGCTAAGATTTCTCTAGATCTCGAGGTTGATATCTTGCACGGTTTAGCCTGCAAGATCCTCGAACATGAAGCTACCCTCAGTCGCGTGTCCGATGTTTGCGGCGAACTTGACTGCCTTGTAGCCCTTGCTAGCGGAGCACTCAAATATGGCTGGGTATGTCCGACTATGACAGAAGACAACATTATGTCAATCTACGGAGGACGTCACCCCCTCCAGGAGCTGGCGGTGCCTGCATTCATCTCCAATGACTGTATTCTTATGGGAGGCTCTGCCGATGAAGCAAAAACACCAACATCGATGCCAAACAGCAATAACATTGGCGTCAGCACTCTTGTTATCACAGGGCCAAATCATTCGGGGAAAAGTGTATATGTCAAGCAGGTTGCCCTCATTGTTTACCTTGCACATATTGGCAGCTTCGTGCCCGCTACCGGCGCTACGATTGGTCTCACGGACCAAATTCTAACTCGTATCTCGACGCGGGAAAGCGTGTCGCAAGCGGAGAGCGCATTTGGTACCGATTTGAGGCAGGTGGCCTTCCTGCTGAACCGTGCTACCCGTCGAACACTCGTGGCAATCGACGAATTTGGCAAAGGGACGGCAGCTGATGATGGAGCTGGTTTAATGACTGCCCTCATTGAGCACTTCAGCACCCTCGGTTTACAGTCCCCCAAAGTTCTGATCACAACACATTATCATGAGATATTTGAAGGAGGTTTTCTTCAAGAGCGACCAGGACTATCGCTCGCGCACATGGAAGTCCGTCTTGACATCGACGCGAACCAGATGGAGGACCAAGTGATTTTTCTTTACAGTCTAGTTCCCGGAAGGAGCACGTCAAGTTTCGGGAGCAGATGTGCAGCATTGAATGGAATTGATACCGCGGTGGTCGAGCGAGCTGAGGCTATTGTACTGCTCCTCGCCCGAAATGAAGACCTTGGGGTGATGTGTGCTAGATTAGATGCCGAAGATGAAGCTCGACTTGAGGAAGCCGAGAACGTTGCCCGGCAGTTTCTTCGAATCACTTTGGATGGCCCTGGACATTTCCAGTCTAGAGGGCGAGGTGCTTTGTCTACTCTGGGCATTTTGGAGAGTCTTCTCGTGCCGGCAGTGGTTGAGTGAAGTATCTGCGAGAACTTGAGCTTTATGAGCATTGGGGAAAGTACGAGAGTTCCTGTCGCGGTGCCGGATGACGACTGGGTTAGATGATGCGCGAAAGGAGCAGATTTCTGTTAAGTCTCAGATCCGGGCAAAGAATGTCACAATGTCTTGCTGAGTGGGTAATGCGAGTAGCTGATATCAAGACGGCGTTTGAGAAAGCATCCCGGTATAGACGTACGACCCAAGGTAACAAGAGACCGCAGACTCAATTGTCTCGCACTCGTGCAACGGTTACATCCGTGGCCTCCTAGAAGACTCTACATTACTGATGTGATGCTATCGCTTGACAATTGAAGTCCAAGGTGTTTGCTGTCACACGTTGGCAATGTTATTCGTTATGAGTACCAGCACGTTGAGAAACATATAGCGAGTAGAGGCAGCCGCACGTCTCCAGTCACCATGTTACACACATGATATCTTTGATAAACTATGTCTTTTCTCAAGATGGGTAAATCGATCCAACAACCGTTGGGCAGCCTCCGATACCCCTGCTGCATAAATACGGGCTGGGTGTTATTGCGGCCTCAAATAGGCGCCGGCGCATGTGCACATAGCCGCCGCGAACCAACATTGGCGGATCCTCTGCAGCGAATCAGGTGAGACCATGTGAGCGAGTGGTTCGCCCTCCGACTCTCTGTTGCATGGGGTCACCAGCCGGGAACAACATAAGATGTAGGGCTGAGGTATTCGTGCAGCGCTCTGCTGGCCAAGGCTGTCAGCTCAAGCCATCATCGCAGGCTTCAGCATCAAAAACAGTCTTCTCAGTCTCACATGCTCTGACTGATACTTATCCGTCAAAAAGTTTACTGGTCATAGATCATGGCGATACCCGTCGTCGCCGCCGCCGCCGCCGCCGCCGCTGCTGCTGTCACGTTGGACGACAAGTTCCAGAATCTAGATGATGAAGCCGTGTACACTCGCGTCAAGGCCGAGGCTGCCAATGACAAGGCTCTCAACTTTGTCGTCGAGTTCAACCTCCACGAGGCCTTCATCGCCTTCAATCTGACCTCTGATGATTTCGAACAGCTCGCCACCCGAAAGCGCAAAGACGACACGGTGCGATGGATCAATATCTGGTCACCGAGCATGCAGAAACCAGTCGTGGAGCGCATCGGCGCCCAGTACGGGTTCTCCAAGAGACTTCTCGCCATCATGACGGCTCCAGCTTTGTCATTCATCAAGCAGCAGGCCAACACGACGCAGGTGTCACCGCAAGGAAGCGATGTTGAGAAGGGGTCGTTGTCTGACGGCCTCGGACTTCCACCACCAGGACAGACGCAGGCGCAAGTGTTGGAGGAGCTTCAGATCTACCAACTCGTGAAGGAGACGGTCAATTACACCTCCATTGACCAAGGGAAGAACTGTGAGTTCTCGGCCAACTCGATTCCAAATGTACTGCCAGAAAGATAGCTGATTATGGACCAGTCCTCTGCATCGGTGCCAACTGGTTGCACACCCGGCCACAGTCTAGAGCCACCGAACATAGTCCAAGTCTGTTACCGCCCAGACACTGGTCATGGCTTGCCCTCAGCTCCGATTGTAAGTTTCCGACATGATCATACGGATCGTCGTGCCGTGCTCATTACCGACATAGCCGTCGTGGTATCTTTCCACGAGACGCCATCGTCAGAACACCCCGAAGACGAAGAATGGTCCATGGCAGAACTCGTCAATACGAGAGCAAACATCACCAGCGTTTTGTGCCAACTATCCAAGCACGGCGCAGAAGATTTCGAACGAAGGCTTCTCTCGCTGAAGCCGGTCAGACAAGCGATGCCTCCCTCAGACCTCGACAGCAACACTGCCTGCGAGGGCTCGAGTAATCTTTTCTATTATCTTTTCGAGGATTATTCATCGGCTCTGCCAGTTTTGAGAACTTCCAAGCGAGAGCTGGGTCGACTGGTAAGTCACGGAGACCGAGTCTCGACGACCATGGCTTGCAATCGAGGATGGATACCTGCTGATACCAAGTTGCGTTGCAGAGCGATCAGATTTTGAAGCCGGTAGGTAACTGATGCCGTACCAGGAGCAGAGAACTGACTTTCAAGTAAGAGTCGAAGAACCAAGATTAAGACAGGGGAGATCATCGAATCACTACATACTCTGAGAAAGGAGCTCAGCCAACTCCAACACTTGTTTGAGGGTTATAAAAGCCTCATCAAGCGCATCTGCTGGTCGCCTCGGTCCCTAGATGCCTGTCACGAGGGTCAATGCGGACGCATAGAGTTATCTAGAAGTATGTTCGGCGAGGTAAATATATCGTCGTCAGCAAGAAGTCGCTTCGAGCGCCTTGGAGACAGACTGCAACTGTTGATGCTCAACACAATCCAAGAGTATCTAGACGAGCAAAACGCACTCTCGAACACGGTAGGTTTCCGGGAAGCATGCTCGAGCCGAGTGTATTGAATGGTTGCTGACGATGCTGCTAAACAGTATTTCAATCTCACGGCCCAAAGGGACTCGCAGGCGACTGCACGCCTGAGCAGAAGCGCTACCGTACTAGCCAAGCTGAGCGTCTTCTTTCTCCCCATAACCTTCATGACCAGCTATTTCTCCGTAGAAATACCCGATTTGGTGGAACACTACACCCCCAAGATGTACTGGGTCTGTTTTGCCGTGATTGCCGGAATCTCCTTCATTAGTCTTTTCTTTTTCAGTCGCATGATTGAAATCCTCAGCGATGTGCTCGAGGCTTGGGCCCACACCGCGGTGCGAAGCACCCGGCGTTTTGTTGGACTCCGTGTACAAGATGACAGAGACGAACATTAATTACCTAAGATGTCGGGGCGCCGCATTCAATAGCCAAGTGACCTACTGCAAAGGATCGGGGTATTCCCTGTCCATCTCATCTAAGCGGATAATGACCAAAGAAACAAAACAACGTAACAGAATCCGGACTCCACGAGTCGTTTCTCTGCGTAAGCAACTTTGTTCCCACCTTGATCCAACTGCTTGCACTGATAATCGTCTGATTTGCCCTTCATCGCATGGCACCGAACACGGCGATCCCTAAGCCCGCCGCGAGTTTGGCCACGCATGCCGCTGTCGGACGTGCTGCGGCGTTGATGACGACGCCATTCACCGTGGTCGATTGAGCACACTGGTCGTTGTTCAAGCCGTAGCATGCTTGGGAGCTAAGACTGGAACATATAGGTGTTGCTGATGTTCCGACGTCCGGTCGGGTTGCGGCGACGGTGGTTCCACCACCGCCCGGAACAATCACAGTAACGCCGAAGCCCGCATTGCCGTCTAATTGAGTGACGCAACTTTGGTAGTTGCGGGAACATTGGCTGAGGGCTGATGAACACTCGCCGCGATCGAGCGATGTCGCTATGTATGGGAATGGAAAGTAAGCATTGGGGACGTATGAAACTGCCGTAGCAGTCGGTACTGTCGTCGGAGCCGTGCCGGTACAAACAGCTCTAAAACGTGCGACTCCAAATTAGCCGGGCTTTGTCTCGTAACGAAGTCATGCCGGAGGTTCAGTCATACCCAGAGGGACAGCAAGCTGGCCGGTTATTATCATCCAATTCGCACACTTGTCCCGTGGCGCAACATATTCCATCAAATGCCGCGCCTAGTGAATCCGAACATTTGGATGTGCCAGCCGGGCAATCTTGACGTCTGAATAATTGCAACGGCGCACCGCCTAGCACGTAAGCGGCGGTGGGAACCATAGCCTTGGTGCCAGTTGAAGTCGGAGTTGGGCTCAGGGCGAAAACCATTTCTGTGGTCTCCAATATTGCCAGTCGCGTTGTCCATCGTGATAACCTCATAATTTCGTGGATATAATGGGCCAGGCCCGGATCGTAGTTGACGTAGCCTTTCTGTTTCCTCGCCCTAGCCGTGCGGAAGTGGAGGAGTGTCTGTTGCTGACTTTTGTGATAGATAAGCCGGATGTCTTCTCGATCCAGGAGTGAATAGTCAGTTATCCGTCTCGGATGGCATCAAGTGGTTGTCTCGCTGGCCACGAATTCGGTGTGGTTGTGGGAAGAGTGGAGGATGGATGAACCGGAGAGCTAACACAGTAGTACTTGTATGTCGCTCTCAAGCTGCTCCAACAGGAGGATTACACGAGTGTCAAAGCCTGCCCGCTGTCAATCTGCTGGTTGCCAGCCACAGCCAAGGCTTTTGCCCAATTTCTCGTCCCTGCACACGAACTACTGTGAGAAAGTAAGGTGAGCTGTCCAACCCCGCCCTCGTTCTTTTGGTGAGGTGGGTTGCATGCATGCGAATTTCCTCGGACTACCCAGGCCAAAAGGACCGCCAGGGTGGGTGAGGTGGCTGGGCATCTGAGCTTCGCAGGGTGAGGGGGTAGGGAAGACGCCAATGAGGGTTGCAATCGCATGATGTCATTGGGCGAAGGACAGTTGGCAGAGCAACCCCGGCCTCAGTCCCTCGGGCCCTGGTCTTGGTACACAGAGCAAGCTTTGCGCGCAGCACAGCACCCTCGTCGCGATTAACGGCCTCGAACATGGGCCAGAATCTGTCTGAGTCGTTGAAGTGCCTGCATCTCGCCGGGGCCTGTCGTGGCTTCTGTGTCATCTCCGCGCGCCTCTTCAATTTCTTGGTGCGCTTGTCGGGCGAGGGACCCGAGGTCACCCCAAACTTCGTCCGTGTAGCTCGTAAGCACATGGTTCCAACTTTCCATCCACATGGCTCTGGCTTGTTGCACATCTGCGACGCCAAAATGCTGCAATAACTCGCTGGGATCGTCTCCACTCAGGAATTGAGGCTGGAAGTCGAGGAGAGAGGACCAATTGGAGGCAGGTCTTCCATGGGCATCGTCGAAAAGGGCTCTTCTCAGCGACAATTCTTCTTCCGGGGATATATACGGCTGCAGGTCGTCGTCATTCACGTCAAACCCATCCGACTCGAGAGAATTTAGTAGATCAAAAACGCCTAGGCCGTCTTTGGCCTCTTGTATCTGAAAATCGGACTTGCTGCCTGATGAGAGAGGCATGTGTTGACTGTGTTCGCTGACAGAGACGGTCCCAGAGTTGCTTTCCTGAACCTTGGCTGACCTCTGAGGCTGAGAGGGGTCATCGAGAACCGCTTGAGCTTGAGCATCCATGAAGTCTTCATACTGCTGTCCACCAGCGGTGGATAGACCTGTTGCCGAACTAAAGCCCGTGGCGATGCCGGGGTTCACGCTGCTTGGACTGCGATACGTAGCAGTATCTCGATGGCTTCCGGAGCCCTGGGCAGAGTAGGAGGAGGTTCGGGGTGAAACTTTCGCTCCCGTCGTTCCGTTACGGATGGTTTCGGTGGCAGAGGAAGCTGTCAGAACGGTGCGAGAAAGACTGGCTGCAGATGCCGTGAGGCGGGATGCAAATGAGGGATTGGGCGGTGTATCTCGGTCACCTTGCTGATGTAGAGCTGGGCCATCATCAGGCGCCGTTTGGACATCGGAGGAAGGGATAGTGGAAGCTTCTTTGCCCTTGCCCTTGCCTGGGGGACTGGAGGCGGCATCGCGACTATTTTGCTCGACCATGCTGAGAGTAGTGAAGAAGAGGTGTGTAGTGGGCGTTTGGGGGTCTAGAACGGCAACTTGTGCTCAGCGAGACAAGAGGGTTGGTGACATGATATTGCAAGTGCGAGGGGAGGGGGATCAAAATGTCTGGTATGTATTCGTACAGAGACCGAGGTTCATGCCTGCCGTGGGCTTCTTGTATTGTTGATGTCCCGGCCATGGGCCGTAGCTAAGCTAAGGTAGGTAGGTACCTTGAGTTTGGAGAATGGATAAGGTACCTAAGGTAACCTAGGTACGAAGCACCGTGGTCAGGTACATTCTTTGCGTTCCAGGTGATAAACGGTACCTAGGGCACCTACCAACAGCAAGGTAATGGGCACCAAGCGTGAGAATTGACCCGGAAGCAGTTGACGTCTCTTCGGCAATCTCCATTCGGCCGGGCTCTTTGGCTGCACATGTGAGACCCGGTTATGAGTTGCGTACGGAGTAATGTATCCCAACGCAGCTGGCAGCTTCAAGCTTCTATTAGGTAGGGTATTCACCACTCCACTTAGGTAGTGGAACGCAAGTGGGGGAAGCGCAGGGCGGGGATTCAGAACCGCAGTCAAGAGGGGCGTCTTCAGCTATGCAAGACCTCATCGTAACAAGGCAACATGGCCGAGTGGTCCAAGGCGATAGACTTGAATTATTTGAAATTCCACATCTATTATCTTCGGATGCGCAGGTTCGAACCCTGCTGTTGTCGACTTTTTGAACCATGACTTTCTGGATTATTTCTATGCCTCTCTCTGTGTTATCTGAGGGATTTGCCTGTGAATGTTGGGTGATACTCACGCTTTTATCGAGGTTATTCATGTAAGCCACTCTACCTAGCTATCGATTCGAGCACAGAGCATACATTGATACCGGCATGTTACGGGTAAGTAGGTATCCCTGCTTACTTATCCGTACCTTTACTTACGTCCATTACTGGGCGAGCCTGTGCCCAGGTACATTCCAATCGTGCCACCCACCTCAACCTAATGTACCTTGCCCCTCCCCGGTCCCGTCAACAACTGTCCACTGAATTCCAGGTCGGCCTTGGGTAGGTAGGAAGTACTCCGTAGCTCGTACTTCGATGTCCAATCGTGATTCCCGCTAGATTCCCATGTTCACCCTCAACCCGCCCGCTTTCATGGCAGCCACAAATCGGAGCCCGTTGGGTTGGGTACGACAGCAACCTACGTAGGTACCTCGCTTTACCCAAGGCACCTTACCTAAGGTAAGGTAGGTAGGTTACCCAGCGCAGTGGACGACGGGAGGGCAGCACCCGTACCTCATGGCGCCCACCTACCTTACCTTATCCTGCTACCAGAGCCATCGATCAGTCAGCCCGGGGTGCGTGGAACAGGTACAGTACGGATTGGATACCTATCCGTACCTTAGCGAATCTGGAAGACCTGGAAGCAAATCAAGCCCACGCAACATCCCTCTCCCTCTACCTTACCTTAGCGTCACCTCTTTCCATCCCGTCCATCATCACTCCACCACTCCCACCTACCTACCTACCTTACCTATCTGACCTTACCTTCTCACCCCAACCTCAACCTTGCGCAGTCTGCACCCTGCTCTCGCCTACCCGCAATCTGCGCCGCGATACCCCCTCCATACGAACAACGTGCAAGCCCTCGACCAACCGACTTTTGGTCTTCGCCGTCATCAGAATACTCAAGCGTACCTGCATCCGACGAAATACGCCTTTTTGCAAATCCCTGAAGCATTCCCACCCGCTGCCGCATACGCCAAACACTACGCACCTACCCTTCCTTACCGCAGAGCCTTCGAGCTACGGGCCTCCCTCCCTTTTCAACCCCTCGTCAACTACGACCCGCCCGATCTATCTCTGCCTCATCCCAACGACATAGAAACCACTCGCCTGCTCTTCGCCCGCAACTGCCTCTCGCACTCCTCCACTTTGCCTGCGTGTTTTTAGGTCCCTCTTCTGCGCACATCATCGCAGTTATTCTCACCTCAGCACCAATCCACAGTCTTCGCGCCGTCCAGCTCGACTGTCGTGTGGCCCATCTCAGCCCTGTCCATATTCTCCCAGCGCCGAGAGACAGCCTCTCTCTCTTTCCGCACTACTAAAGCTCGCCCCCTCGTTCGTCTTCGACATACCCCGCCACCTCGCCTCTTCCGCTCGCCCATATCAACATCGACAAGTCCACTCCTTAGCCCATACAGAACTGGTCTGCAAACATGGTGGACAGCGACACGAACTCCCCCACGTGGAAGTTCACCCAGTACGTGCTCTTGCTTCTTGGCTCCATGTCTTCCTTTGATTATCCTCATCTCGACTGCCCCGCCCTCGCCATTGCTGGGATAATTGCTTACGCTACGCAATAGGTGCTTTGGAGACAAGGGCGATGTGGAGGACATCACCGAAGGTAAGATGCAGCCCGCAATCCCTTGTCTGGCGACCACTACCGCCGCTACTATGGCAGGTTCTGTCGACTATATCGTCAGTAGATCTAACCCTTTCTCCCAGCTGATATCATCTCAACGGTCGAGTTCGATCACACGGGTAACTATCTCGCGACGGGAGACAAAGGCGGCCGGGTCGTATTGTTCGAACGGAACGAAACGGTGAGCCAAACCTGGCATCCAAGTGGAGGGCGTACTCTTCATTTTTAACCTTATGCTGATATTCTTGAACAGAAAAAGACATGCGAATACAAGTTCCATACCGAATTTCAGTCCCACGAACCCGAGTTTGACTACCTGAAGTCGCTGGAAATTGAGGAAAAGATCAATAAGATCAAGTGGTGTCGTCGACAGAATGCATCACACTATCTGCTCTCAACAAACGACAAGACGATCAAGCTGTGGAAGGTTTTCGAAAAGTCGCTTAAGGTCGTCGCCGAAAACAATCTATCCGATGACTTGACTCCCGCAAACCTCGCTGGCGGTGGGGGTGCTCCCAAGCAGTCACCTGCGCATCGTTTCAAGAACTCTGAAGACCTCATCATGCCCCGCCTGACCCATCATGACACCGTCGTTGCCGCCGTACCTCGCCGAACGTATGCAAATGCCCACGCCTATCACATCAACAGCATATCCGTCAACAGCGATGGCGAGACATTTATCAGCTCGGACGACCTTCGCATCAACCTCTGGAACCTGAATATCCAGGATCAGAGCTTCAACATTGTCGACATCAAGCCTGCAAACATGGAGGAGCTGACTGAGGTTATCACCGCTGCCGAGTTTCACCCTCTGAGCTGCAATTGGTTCATGTACGCAAGCTCCAAGGGCACCATCAAGCTTGCCGACATGCGCCAGAGTGCTCTCTGTGATAGCCACGCAAAGCGTACGTACTGCGCTCCTCCGTCTGAACCCTTTGCGATCTGTTCGACGCTAACTATTTGTCATCGATGTAGTCTTTGAGCAAGAGGAAGATCCCTCCTCAAGGTCGTTTTTCTCCGAAATCATTTCCTCCATCTCGGACGTTCGGTTCTCCTATGATGGTCGTTACATTCTCTCTCGCGATTACCTGACGGTGAAGATCTGGGATATCAACATGGAACGACAGCCCGTCAAGACGATCCCCATCCACGAGCATCTGCGTCCTCGGTTATGCGATACGTATGAGAACGACAGCATCTTTGACAAGTTTGAGGTTGTCTTCTCGGGGGATGCCAAGAACGTCATGACTGGTAGCTACAACAACAATTTCATGATCTATCCTTCAGACCCCGACAAGGAAGTCGAGGTGGTGCTGCAGGCCGATAAGTCTGCCTTCAAGGCTAAGAAGGTTGGCGTACCGACACCCATCAATTCGTCTACTAGCCCAACCGCAACCAACGGTGGCAAGAAAGGAGGTTCCCGTGCTGGTAGTCCTGCTGCTGGAGCCGGTGGCCAGGGCCAAAGGATGCGCAAGGAAACCGATGCCGACCAGATCGACTTCAACAAGAAGATCCTCCATATGAGCTGGCATCCATTTGAGGATAGCATCGCGATTGCGGCAACGAACAACGTAAGTCCTTGGCGGCATGATAATAATCTTTCCATCCCTGGGATTTGGGGGTTGAGTGGGCTAACTTCTTGAACAGCTATTTGTCTTCTCTGCACTATAAGGATGAATAAGAACCGAAGCCCTTGAGCACTATGACGAGTGAGGACACTCATGCTCGGACGAAGCACAGCAAAACAGCCGGACGATGTAGATCGAGGCTATCGCGCCTACAGCCTGGGGGATTTGGTTGACAGGAGAAGGTGTCTCGGGTCTACGTCGCAGCTGTGGCCTCTTGTACAATCGCCGTCTTAGCCAGACTTTCGAATTAAGAGGCCAACTCGACCAATAGGAAAGAGTTTGCTGGGTACTCGGGACCATCGAAAAGTGCTTGGGGAGAAGACAGAGGTGGAGGAACACGTGAAAGATATGGAAGAAGCACTAGGAATAGATGGACCCGACCATCGTGTCACGTCGTCACGGTTATCAACGCCTCCCTGATTTCTATAGTAGAATTGGAGGCAACGAGATTCTCGCCTGTTCTGAGCATATGGTGGCGTGTCATGGTAAGCCCAAGTACACGAGATGGAGTATCCGGGTGTCGCAGGTGTGCACTGCCGAGGTTATTGCCATACCCTTTATGCTGAACTATCCAAGGTAACGGATATTCCATCTACCTTCCTGAGTGTTACTTAAAGGCTGCTGCTACAATTTGAACATGATAGGACGGTGCTTCCTGCATTCGATTCGACAATCATGCAGCGACCTGATGCGTAGATGCTGTCATTCGAGATTGGTCCCACGGCTGTGTTTTGTCCCGTTGCGCAAGATTTCGATTTCTCGGCTTTAGATAGATCTACATCAACTACCTACTACCTAAAAACTCGCACTAATCTACGCAGGTAGGTGAAGGTGTGTGGGTTGGGTGGCTTGAGGTACCTAGACTGGTGCTCAAGGGATCTCGAAGTTCCCGTCAGGTCACAAGCCTACCTAGGACGAGGGAACCAAGAAAAGTGTGGATCCTCACACAGGCACGCTGAGGCCATATCGTTAGATACCTTACCTAGGTAATGAAAGGTACGGATAAACAGTCGTGACGGAGGTATGGTAGCAAGCTTAGTAGGAGCACGGCAAGAGCAAGCGGAGCGGGACGTGTTGTTTGAGGTGGCCGCCCCAACCTGCAACCGTGGGCTCATTGACTTCTTGTACAACTCTGACAATAACCCAAGACTACCTTACCGATTCAGGTAGTAAGTAAAGCCTCCAAATTGGAGAGCATGAGGGGAAAGCCTGGGTAGGGGCCTCAGCTGGATCCAATGCAAGGGAGCATGTACCAACTCCAAGGTGAACTCGAGTAGAAGCTCCCAAGATCTGTCGGGTACAAGTGCCGTAAAGTAGGTAGCCCGGCGTGCCCGGTTTCCAAAGCACCCGACTCCCATCGTGAAAGTCTCCATGGAACCATGAAAAGACTCGAGACGGAGAGACTGAGAGACACAGACGTGGTCTTTGATGGAAGTTTGGGGGCGAGCGGAGTCCCGACACAGCCCGGGCAGCTCAGATCCCAATTGCGCCACTGTCATTGGCCACTCTCGCCCTGATCTGTCCTCTAAGCCTTAAGGTAAAGGAAGGTACCTTGCTCCGTACCTCGTACCTGCTTCCCGTCCCAGCTGTACCGGCGTCCCAGTGTCTCGGACACGCTGCACGCTGCGCGCCGCACCTTTGCAATTATACTTTGAACCCCCCCAAAAGTCTAGTCCAATCCTTTCAACTATTCGCACGCAGGCTCAAAACAGCCTCAATGTCCTCTCCGGCGACTACTAGACGACGCGGACAGCCGAAAGGCATCTCATCGCCCCCCTTGGAGAAGATGGATTCTCCTGCTCGGGGTTACGATGACGAGAAGACGGCCGATCAAGCCGCCAAAGGTTCGGTCATGAATGGACATGCTTCTAGCGAAAAGTCCCTGCAGACTGCTGGCCGCATAGTCGCTGGTCTCTTTTCCCAATGGATCACCGTTGGTGTAATGCTTGGCCTGATTTTTGGCGGCTGCTGCTCCAATGTTGGTGAACCTATGCTCAACCATCAGAACTACAGACGTGCTGACCTCACTGTGTAAAGGTGTATGCCTTGGAAGCTATCATCAAGTAAGCGCTGCTCCCAGACTCCGGCTTTGCCGTCAATCTTCTGAATCTTCGGAGTTGCTAATCGTGCCTTTTCCCTCCAGGATCGAACCTGCAAGTGGTATGTCACCATGAACCCCGCGATCTAGAGCCCCTCCTGACAAGTTCGTGTACAGGAACCCTCCTGACGTTTGTCCAATTCCTCTTTGTCGCTGTCACCGGATACTTTTCCCAATTCGATCGATCGAGACCACCGTTCTTCTTGCAGCAGAACAAGGTCCCTCTACGCCGCTGGATCATCAATATTGTGCTGTTTTTCAGCATCAATGTGTTGAACAATCATGCCTTCAGCTATGACATCTCTGTTCCTGTGCATATCATTCTTCGGTCTGGTGGAAGCATTACAACCATGGTTGCCGGGTCTCTTTATGGAAAAAAGTACTCTCGCATACAGATCGTGGCTGTCGTTCTCCTGACATTCGGTGTCATCACCGCAGCGTGGTCGGACTCGCAGTCAAAGGTACGCAAGCGTTGTCCAAATCCTGACGGGCTCTTTCGTTCTAATCGCTCTCCAGAACTCTTCTAAGGCAATCGAGGGCAGTGCCAAGCCCGCTTTTGGGACCGGCCTCGTTGTGCTGTTCGTGGCACAGGTCCTCTCCGCCATCATGGGTCTCTACACGGAAGAGACGTACAAACAATATGGCCCCCATTGGCGAGAGAATCTCTTCTACTCGCACCTTTTATCACTGCCGCTCTTCTTGCCGTTTGCGCCATCACTGATCCGCCAATTTCGAAAACTAGCAAACAGTCCGCCTCTATCGCTACCCATGGCGCAACTTCCCGGCCTTGGACTTAAAGGAGACGTTGGAGATGGTCTCTTCAAACATCAAATTCCGAGCCAACTTGCCTATCTGGTGACAAACGTCGTGACCCAGTACGCATGTATCCGGGGTGTAAACTTGCTCGCTGCCGTGTCCTCAGCATTGACTGTCACCATTGTCTTGAACATTCGCAAGCTGGTCAGTCTACTTTTGAGCATATGGCTTTTCGGGAATCGCTTGGCTGTGGGGACTCTGGTCGGGGCAATCATCGTGTTTGGAGCTGGAGGCCTATACTCATTGGATTCAAGAGCCAAGACCTCCAGGGTACAAAAGAATGTGGGTGCGAAATAGAGCTAGAAAGTTTAGACAGTCACTGGACGGACTTGCATACACGATTCAGAGATACAAGTAGAAAGCCCTTTCAAGAGACTTTCGGACATCCATACCTATGGCTGCGTTCAACAGCAAGCATGGTTGATGCTTGTACCTCCTGATAGTGACCTACCGACATTATGACTACAATCTTTGACTCATCCGGCGAGCTTCATTGCTTGGTTATACACTATTGAATGGTAAAAATCTAGACAGGCAGGGTAGATGCCCGTAAGTAAAAGACAAGATTGGTTCCATAACATCTTACCTGAGGGGCCGGACATAGGCATAACAGGTAGGTACCTTGCCTTAGGTAGGTATATGATAGCCTATCACCGTGGTCGCGGTCAGTGGCAGCTTAGGACCCCGCCGTGGTCGCGAGTCGGAGGTCGGAGCCAACCGCTACCCCTCCACCACCCGCTTAGGTATTCATTGTCCGCTGGTTCTTATCCCACTTTGGAGTGCTAGTGCATGCGATTACCCGATACTGCGATAGCTCCTGCATCATAATTCTGCCGTTGTCTCTGGGAATTTACTGGATCTCTGTTTTCTTTTTTTTTTTCTTGGGGGAAGGGCTCTGCAGAACTCCACGGTAGGGTTCAACACGCTTCTCAATATGGCTGGTATGTACTCTTCGAAGCCTCTTCCCCCAAACGGATATGGTAGTTTCAATTCACGCTGGTAAGCTACCCCTCATTCCTCATAGAAGGCCGAGTTCTTCTCCCATGCTATAGCGCATAGCTTCGTGCTTCGTATTGTGCTGACAGTTTGCCGTAATCAGACACAAGCCTTGTTGAATCAAAAAGACCCGACGTCCGCCTCAACCTCCCCCAAAAGAGGCCCCACGTTCTCGCTCCACGATGGTGACACCGACTCTGACGGCGAATTGGGTGCGCTGGACTCTCGAGGCGACAACAGCTCCGAGGGGTCAGGAGGGCAAACTCCCGGCGATGCACCCGCGTCAGACGCAAACCCTTTGTCACCCCACAGCCAGGACCACGATGGAGCGAGTCTGCAAGACGGCATGCTTCCTCGCGACCTCCCCACAAGGACCGCCTTCTACGACCCTGTTGCGGATCGCCAGATGAGCCAGACTGACGCCAAACTGTTTTACCAACGTAGCCAGGTTGGTCAGCTGAAGACGGGTAGTGGTGTGTGGTCTCAAGGCCATGCGACGCCCCACGGAAGCCCAGTCATTGTCGGCTCTGAGCATCGTGACGTTCCTGCCGGCACTCGGAATCTCGACCATCCGATGGACTCATCTCCCTTAGGTAAAGGAAAGGGCCAAGTAAGAGGCAAAGCTCTCGCACACGAAGAAATGATGCTGCCGGAACCGACGCAGCAGGCTGCCAGTGCAGAGCATTTCTCGCCTACACGGAACCACCCTTTCCACGAAGTCGACCCCAGGCTTTTGAACAGTGAGTTCAGCAATCTGGGCCTGGGCCACGAGCCTGGCCCAAGTATTGGTATTACGAACCAGCCTGCTGCGCTTGGCGTTGCTGCCTTCTCAGACACCGACCCGCACATTACGGCCGAGCTCAGTGCCATCTCGAAGAATATCCAGAGCATCATGGACCTACGAGAGAGATACATCGGGCTTTCTCTCCAAAGGCCTGATGATAATCCTAGGGATGATCCTACTTGGTCGATATACCCACCTCCTCCCCAGCCAGCTTGGGGAGCCGAGCACGCCAGAGCTGTGGCTTCTGCCGAGCATACCACTAGCAACGCCAATAGCTTGAATGGCAGCATGGTCTTGCCATCATCTGCCACAGCAGCAAGTGACCACACAGGTCGTCGGGCACAGGATTCCGAGGCTAAGCCCACATCGAAGAAGCGGAAGCCTGGCCAAGACATTGGAGAAGACTTCGATATGCAGGACCTGCTCCCAGTCCCCTCCGCCGACAAGATGACTTTTAAGCTTGACGATAGTGGTGTCTACCAAGTATTCGATGACACAGAGGCCGAGGCGAGAGGAAATCCGGTCATTCGGGTTCCTACTATCCGAGAGTTTTACATGGACCTAGATCAAATTCTGAGCATTTCCTCAGACGGACCAAGCAAGAGTTTCGCATTCCGTCGACTTCAGTATCTCGAAGGCAAATTCAATCTTTACGCCCTCCTCAACGAGTACCAGGAGACTGCGGACAGCAAGAAAGTCCCCCACAGAGACTTTTACAACGTGCGCAAGGTTGACACCCACGTTCACCACTCTGCTTGCATGAATCAAAAACATCTCCTGCGTTTCATCAAGAGCAAGATGAAGAAATGCCCGGACGAGGTTGTGCTTTTCCGCGACGACAGGCACCTAACCCTAGCGGAGGTGTTCCAGAGTATCAACCTCACCGCATACGACCTTTCCATTGACACTCTAGATATGCATGTAAGTTTTTGTCCTGGAGCCTGTCTTTTCTTGATATGTTCTGAACCTATTAACTGATACCTATCCAAAGGCGCACACGGATTCGTTCCATAGATTTGACAAGTTCAATCTCAAGTACAACCCAATTGGCGAATCCCGGCTTCGCACAATCTTCCTCAAGACGGACAACTTCATCAACGGCCGTTATTTGGCAGAAATCACCAAGGAGGTCATTGCTGATCTTGAATCGAGCAAATACCAGATGGTTGAATGGCGCATCTCCATTTACGGAAAGTCCCTTGACGAATGGGATAAGCTTGCGGCCTGGGTTGTTGACAACAAGCTATTCTCCCACAACGTACGATGGCTCATTCAGATCCCTCGTTTGTACGATGTGTACAAGGCCAGCGGGCTCATGGACACTTTCGAACAGGTGGTCAAGAATGTCTTTGAGCCCCTGTTCGAAGTCTCAAGAGATCCCTCCAGCCACCCGAAGCTGCATGTCTTCCTGCAGAGGGTGATTGGGTTCGACAGTGTCGACGACGAGAGCAAAATCGAGCGGCGCCTGTTCAAGAAGTTCCCGGTGCCTAAGGTTTGGGACTCGAAGCAAAATCCTCCCTACAGTTACTGGCTTTACTACCTGTTCTCCAACATGTCATCACTCAACGCACTGCGCCAACGCCGGGGTTTCAACACGTTTGTGCTGCGACCACACTGTGGTGAGGCCGGTGACAGCGAGCATCTGGCTGTGGCTCTCCTTTGTTGCCACAGCATCAGTCATGGTCTACTGCTACGCAAGGTTCCGCTTCTGCAGTACATTTTCTATCTTGAACAGATTGGCATCGCCATGTCGCCGCTGAGTAACAACGCTTTATTCCTTGCTTATGAGAGGAACCCGTTTTACCAGTACTTCCGCCGGGGTCTCAATGTCTCGTTGTCGACGGACGATCCACTTCAATTCGCTTTTACAAAGGAGCCTCTGATGGAGGAGTACGCCGTGGCAGCCCAGATCTACAAGCTAAGCCCTGTGGACATGTGTGAACTCGCAAAGAATTCAGTCAAGCAGAGCGGCTTCGAAAGTGCGATCAAGGAGCAGTGGCTTGGACCCAATTTCAAGCTTCCGGGCAAGGCAGGTAACGCCATGGTGAAAACCAATGTGCCTGATCGCAGGGAAGAATTCAGATACCAGACCCTGAGGGAGGAACATGACATGTAAGCATCATGGTGGCGAAACTCTGACCAAGATCCAGGAGCATGCTAACGGGTAGTAGGCTTCACAAGTACATCAACTACGGTGCCAATGAAACCTCTGACTCGGCCGTCACAGCTGACCAGCAGAGTGTGGCTCAGAGCATCATCGGTGGGCACCACCCAGCGGTGCAACGCGTGCCGGCCAGCGCGGGTGTTGACAGTGACGCGGGTACCGGAGGTGGCCCGCAGATGGCCGTCGTGGGAGGACCCAACAGCGCAGCAGTCCTTGAAGATGATGTAGTTGCCTCCCCTGCCAGTCTCGCACCTTCCGGAGAAGCATCGTGGTCAACTGATGGCCACACCTCGGGACGAGATCCCAAATTGTTTCCTGGTGTTTTCAGCCGGGGTAGAACAGGGAGTAGTCAGTGAGGTGACTAGCTGCGCTGACGTGGTGAAAGAGATGGAGAAAAAAAATCCGAGTCCGACATGGGGGAATGGAGATCGGAGACAAGGTTAAGGGAAAGCATTGGCTAATGCGTTGAGATACCTGGATATAAGACATTTTACGGATATTCACGATACCATTCATGTGTGCGATAGTGAGTAATTTGATCGCTTGTTCAAACAAGGTGAACTGCTAAGCTGCAGAGTGTTTCGATCTTCGGCCCGCAATGGTCTTGTCATCATGAACCAGAAATACCCATCTCTGGCAAGGCCATGGGACAGATGTTCAAATCATGAACCGCTCTCTGTGACAGAGTCCCATATCGGGCAGCGAAGCACGGTGGAGAGCCATTCGGGCCGCAAATATGAGGTGCACTGAGCTTAGGGTGCCTCGAAGCGCAACACCAGGCATGGCACATTCCAATTCAAGGAAGGTTGTTATGGGATGCAAACATTGTCATGAAAAGGTTATGACTGCGTCAAATTATGTTGCAATGAAGAAACATGCAATGAGGAAGGTTCATTGACATTCTTCTGCGAGAGAACATGGATAGAGCACCTATGCTGACGAAGATGCGCGCCAACTTGACGCATGACGCATCTGTATGTGTGTATATGCATCTACCCGTATTTTCAAGTCTTCCGGCATGGATGAACAGCCAGGTACCTGCCAGGTTTCTAACAATGACGGCGGCAGTGACGGATAACGGAGGCCCCCACCCAGCTTTGCCTGCCACCCTGATTACCTTAGGTACAAAGTACCGCAAGGTAGGTAGGTATCTTCACCCTCCACCCTCCCCATAGCGCTGCTCGCAGTCCAGCTCAGCACCCAGTGTGTAGGTACGGAGTAGTCAGGTAACCATTGTCATGCTCCACACCGGGCCAGTCTCACTCAGCGTACCGGTCCCAAGCCCAGCTCCTCCGGTTCCTAGTGCCCATGGATCACAGCCACGACACCTCCACCATCATCGCATATGGCAATAATAATGCCTAACGGATAACCGCAACTACCTGAGCACCCACCACGACAATCACGTCTCCATCTCCCATTCCACCTTCTACTTTCCACCGATACGCCTTTGCTCGGTCAAGTTACCTGATTCCTCCAACCACCATCCTGCCTATCACATTAAATCAACAATCAATTCCCGTGGTACTGCACGAGCTTACCAAATCCCTCCAGCCGCAGTTACCGCCAGTCAAGCTCAACTCGCCTTCAACCATCATCCGTACCCACGAACCCACGAACTGATGCGATCGCGATACCCGACATACTTGCAGAGTGCATACTAAACTGTTACCTCATGACTTGTAAGTTGATTAAGAATATCTTTCATGGCCATTGTTTCGCGCTGTATTTAGTTCCGTTCACGCTATCTGTACTTGCCTACTCTCCTCCGCTCCGCGACGTTGCCTGGGTAGTCTATGGCAGATGTCATCGTACGGCATTGCCTATCCGTTCCACAATGCTCGATATATCTTCACTGGCCCGGCGGTCGCCCTCTTGGTTGTCTAGCTGTTTGGTGGATCTGAAGTTGACCTCGGCCCATTGTGCCTCTAGGAGCCTTTCAACGCCTGATCTCCCGATCATTGCGAGTTTTGAACCATTATCCATCCGCGGGGACGCCGGCAGCGAGCAGCGGCTTCTCCCCATACTGCCCTTCAGCTAGAAGCACGGCACCCTCAACCACCCACTCGAACTGCGATCCTTCCATCTCATGATACGCGGATTTCACCGCACATAAACGCCTGCGCGATCATTTACCCTACTCGCGAATATTCCGGCGCACAGAAGCCCACGAAGCCCCGCCAACATGGGTTTCTTAGGAGTTTATAAGGCCGTCTATGACTACCTTCCCCAAGCCGAAGGCGAGCTTGCCATCAACGATGGAGATATTCTCTACGTGCTTGAGAAGAACGCCGAGGATGATTGGTGGAAAGCAAAGAAGAAGGCTAGTGCCGACGACGAAGAAGAACCCGAAGGTCTCGTTCCGAATAATTATGTAGAAGAAGTAGGCGCACCCAAAGCCGCCCCCACCGAGGCTTCATTGAGGGTAGCGATGTGTATACTAACTTCATCTCAGGCACAACCGGTCGCAAAGGCTCGCGCTCTGTTTGAATATACTAGGCAAACAGACGAGGAGCTTTCCTTCCCCGAAGATGCTGTCCTCGACGTCTACGACACATCGGACCCTGACTGGATTCTGGTCGGTCTAGATAACGATTATGGCTTCGTACCTGCCAATTACATTGAAGTTGGCGAAGCAGAGGACACTGCGGCTCAACCTTCGCCGCCTCCAACGTTACCGACGCGCATAAGTTCTGCTTCTGCTGTTACGGAAAGCTATTCGGAGAGGCCGGAGTCTGCCTACACACCAACCAATACTAACGACAACAATCCCGCGGCGGCTCTGGCAGGTGTGATGGCGGGTCGTTCTGTCCCTCCACCGCGCGCTGCTACTCCCCCAATGTCACCGCAGTCCCCAGCATCAGAGCCATCGGATGAGGAGCCGGTTAGAAGCCCAGCTCTGCCCGCCCGTCCAATTTCACAGGTCGCACCGGCACCCGCACGTATTCAGTCTCAAAGATCAATTGACACCCGTCTGTACGACCAGGAACCCGAAGTCGAAGAACCACCTTATCGTGCGCCTGGTGGATTCCACATGTACAATATCAACGAGATGGTATCCGTGATGGGCAAGCGGAAAAAGATGCCCACCACTCTAGGTATCAATCTAGCAACTGGGAACATATTGATTGCCCCGGAGCGTGCCCAGGATGGTCCCTCACAAGAGTGGACAGCGGAGAAGATGACCCATTACTCTCGCGAGGGTAAGCACGTGTTCTTGGAGCTTGTCAGGCCGAGCAAAAGCGTAGATTTCCATGCTGGAGCCAAAGATACAGCTGAAGAGATTGTGGGCGCTCTAGGCGAACTAGCAGGTGCCGTCAGAGCAGAGGGACTTCGAGAGGTTATTCTTGCAGGCTCAGGAAAGGCCCAGAAGAAAGGTCAAGTGCTTTACGATTTTATGGCCCAAGGCGACGACGAGGTTACTGTTGCCGTTGGTGACGATGTCATCATAATCGACGATACCAAGAGCGAAGAATGGTGGCAGGTTCGGCGTGTTAAAAACGGCAAGGAGGGCGTCGTCCCGAGTAGCTATATCGAGGTCACAGGCTCCATCGCCCCACCCGCCAGCAACACCGGATTGAACGCGGCGAAGTCGACCGTTGAACAGAACCGCTTGGAAGAGATCAGGTTGACAAAGGAGGCTGTCAAAGCGGCTCAGAGGGACAGCTCACAGCAGGTAGGGCCAGGAATGCCTCTACCAAAGCGAGGCAGCAGTCTTATGGCAAGAGAAAATGGTAATAACTATGGGCAGCGGAGCAAACGCGAAAACGGACGTGGCGAAGGCGGCAGTCAAGGCCGATCCGGCAAATCTAGTAAGCAATGACTCTCAGTCTTAGGTTCTGGTGTACACTCTGTACTAACATTATTGTCACAGAGCCGGATCCCGCCAAAGTGCGGACGTGGACGGACCGATCGAAATCTTTCAGCGTCGACGCGCAATTCCTCGGACTCAAGGACGGCAAGATTAATCTGCACAAGATGAATGGCGTCAAGATTGCAGTTCCTGTCGCAAAAATGTCAGTGGAGGACCTCGAATACGTCGAACGCGCTACGGGCATTTCACTGGACGAAGACAAGCCATTGTCGAATGTCAAGAAAGCCAGGGCCTCACAAGCCAGAAACTCGCCACCTGCCGGGATCGGCGCCTCAGTTGGACAACCGCAGAAGCCCGAGTACGATTGGTTCCAGTTCTTCCTCACTTGCGATGTCGCCGTAGGCTTGTGCGAGCGATATGCACAGGCCTTCGCCAAAGACTCGATGGACGAAAGTGTACTTCCAGACGTTGATGCCTCGGTGCTTCGTAATCTGGGTCTTCGCGAAGGAGATATACTGAAAGTTATGCGCACACTGGACCAGAAGTTTGGCCGAGTGAAGAACGGCGCTGACAAGGCAAATGGAGAAGGCGACGGGGCTTCTGGAGGTCTCTTCTCTGGTCCTGGCGGGGCTCTCCGGAACAACACCAGAAAAGGCAGACCGGCACCCGCAGTGCAAACGAGTGATGTTGTGGACCCCAAGGCATTCACTGCAAAGGGGTCCAGCCCGAGCGAGGACACCGACTCCAAGTCGCCTGCCTCTGCTTCAACAGCGACGGCCAAGACGACCAGTGGTTTTGATGATGATGCATGGGATGTAAAGCCCGCAAAGCAAGCCCAAGAGCCCCCTCGCCCTACTGCAGCTCCTACTCCGGCTCCAACTCAACCACCGGAACAACAAACACCGCCCCAGCAAGTGCCTGCTCTCACTGGCTCCATGCAGGAATTGTCACTGCTGTCGAAGCCTCTGGAGCCGCAACGGACAGCCCAGCCGCCGGCGCCGAGCCCGGTCGTTGTTCAGCCACCGGCACCGGTGCAGGCGCCTCAACCCACTGGAGCTACGCCGTCATTCTTTGATACCATTAGGCCGAGTTCTACAGGCTTGCCGACATCCCAGCAAGCTACGCAGCGGCAAAGGCCAGCCCCGCCTCCGTCCATGGCGACCACTGGCTCGCTGATGCTGCCACCGCCGTCAAGACCATTGTCAGCACCTCAGACTGCTCAGCAGAGCGCCTTTGCGCCACCACCTCTGATGCCTCAAATGACTGGCGTCTCCCACCAAACTTTCCAGACTCAGGTGGCACCGCCAGGGCAGAGCATGAATGACCTGAATCAAGCACGTTTGCAGCAGCAGTATACCATGCAGCAGCAGCAACAGCAACAGCAACAAATGCCACAGCAGCAGATGAATGCCTATCCCGTGCCCCAGCAGCAACCAGTCCCGGGGGTAATGGGCTTCAACCCTGGCATGCAGCAGACTGGTGGACAGTTCATGCAGTCCATGCAGCAGCCAATGATGACAGGCGCGCCTTCTCAAAGCCCTTTCGCGGATCCTCAAAGGCAAAGCCAGTTCTCCCCAATGCAGGCGCAACCTACCGGCTTTCCTGGTCAGTTCGGCCAGCTCCAGGGTTTCAACGCGCAACCCACCGGAAGTATCAACTCATTCTTGCCCCCTGCCATGGAGCCGCAAAGAACCGGCATGCCGAGCTTCCAACCGCAGCAAACTGGCATGGGAGGATTTAACAATATGGGCAGCGCCGGGCTTCAAGCACCGGTGCAGCCTTTGCAGCCTCAGAAGACAGGTCCTCCTCCGCCGGTTCGCTTCGGAGTTACAGGCGACGCAAAGAAGTTGATGCCGCAGGCTACAGGCCGGCGGGCCAATCTCTCACAAGCAAGTCAGTATACACATTCTCATCTACAGGGTTCCTGCAGGATTTTGCTAACGGGAATATATAGCTCCCAACAACCCCTTCGGTTTCTAATTGCACATCCATCTCCGTTCTTGATGGACTCGTCTTCAGGATTGGAGCGAGCGAATCAACTAACCGTATTTGCCCCTTTCTGGACACACCCTGCATAGCATAGGTGCCATGTGTGTTTACCACCGTCATACCAGTGTACGTGCATAGATGTACTTAATACTACTTCTTTGACCTTGCTTTCGGCATCAATGTGAAGCTCGTGATGATTCAGGCCGTCGCTCTAGTAAGTTTGGCTCTGAAGAGCATGGCAAAGTCAAGCATGAGATGGGAGGCATGTAGGCAGTGCTGAAAATGAGACAGAAAAAGGCCGCGTCATTCAAGCTGGTGTGTCTTAGCAGCGCAAGTTAAACGAAATACTGGTCTATAGATTATGTAAAACAATAAGCAGTAAGTCACCTGCCACCCACGTGCAGAGATTGGGCAGCATCCTACCGTATATTTGTACACTTCCTTGCTCCGCCCAGGGCTGTTATCATCCGGCTTCCTCACACAAAACGCTGTCAAAGTTGGGAAGCACTCTGCGACACATGACGACATGCAAATGGCCCGCCCCTTCCCCTAGAATCGCTCTATGCCTTGCGCCGACGGGCTTGAGTTGCGGGAGATGCTGCTGTGGCCTTGGCAGTAGAGGGCTCGATCGTAGCTTGCTTATCTGTTGACTTTACCGGCTGGAATCTTTTCCGAACCGCACGAATCATCATAATGAACCAGTAGAAATTCAAGCTGTTGAGAGTCATGTTGCTCATCAGGTACGTCACGGCTAGCCAAGTTGGCACCGTTGATGACGCCGTCGCAAATCTCATAACACCAGTCGGAGCGAGCACCGCGCCTGTTTCCGGAGAAATCTCTTTGGGCAGGACGGGATGTGCATTGATTGCAGCGTAGATGTCCGAAAAGACCTTGACAGACTGGTATGTTCCGTATACGAGGCGGCAGGAGAAGAACGTGAATAAGAGCATGAGGCCGTTGTAGAGTTGCGCGCGAGACCCAGTCATTCCCAGCTTGTCAAAGAACCAGTGGATGTTGAGGAAGGGCGTGGATAGCTCCCATAGGATGAAGATGCAACCATAGTAGTTGAGAAACGGTCGCTGATTGATTGATAGAGGTCAGCGAGAGAGACATGAATAAAGAGCACTTCGTCCGAGGCAGACTTACGAATCCAAGAGAGAAGACAAACAGGGCGCTGACAGCATGAGCCAAAGTGCCGAGTCCAAAGACATCCATGTTGAGACTCGTGACGACCAAATCCCACAGGAAGTAGCCAGCGGCAAGGCCCTGGATCATACCGGCAGCACCTGTGTATCCCCACATGCGAGCTTGCCAATCCATCGTGCTACGCTCTTCATCAACGAACATGACCCAGAGGGCCAAGCCATTGATGAGAAGGCTCTGGACAAGAGAGACGACATGGGCGTCCCAGTTTATGCGTCTCTTACGGGGTAGATCGAGGTATTTGCGGCCCACTATCAATCGCGACAGTAACGGAGACACGGGGTAGTAGATGACCGAGTAGAGAAGGGCTGAGGCGAGAACTTCGTGGATGTGGATCGGTAGTGTCGGCAGCGAGAAGTAGTCAGCAAAGGGCTGAGTCGCCTTGACGAGCCATGGCAATGGCTCGAGAAAGAAAGGATCTTTCATTCTTTGTATTGACGCCTTGATTCGAGTTCAGCTATCTGCTTCTGCTGTAGAGGGTCTTGAAAGCTGCTTCGGTTCGGGAGTGACAGGAGACTGTGGTATACTGCGGAGTCGGACGAGGGTGGGCTGCGTGGCTTGATTGCAGCGCTGGACGTTTGGGATGTCTTCCTCTTCAAGGTATTCTTCGACAGGAAGGTTCTATCACCGGATCGATTTGTCAGTCTATCAAATACTTGAGGTGAACGAGACAAGATAAACAAACGTGAGCAATGAGTGAGTGGTTCAAGGTCTCGTGTGGCTATGAGGCAGGCGAGGCAAAGCAGGGGTCGGCGCGCGGGGAGCAGACGGATTGTTGGGGAAGCTAAGCTTGATGGAGGAGGACCCTTGAAGACTTGTAGCACCTGGGCACCCGCCAGCTGCGTCGTGACTTTGAGAGGTGCCCTTAGTTGAGCACTGGGCACAGAGGTGGGGGCGGCCGTGAGCACAGGTTCACGAACAAGAAGTGTTTCTCAGGCAGTTGTTTCCAAGGCCGTCACTTTTTTTTTCAGTTACGTTGCGCGTCAGCTGCACTATGGTCGGGGTCGTGGGATGCCATGGCCAGAACTAGCTGTCCGTCTCATGATGGCATCACACGCCTAGGTAGCGCAGTGTAGTTGATCGAGGCGGTGCTGTGAAGTGAACCGTAGTAAAGGAAGGGGACTGGCCCCAGTTCCAACCCTTTATTGCTTGGGTATGGGATCCTACATACTGCAACATGAGTACTGAATGAATCAGTAATCAGCGCCCAGGAGGTTCAAACATTCCTGCGCACGCGGCCATCCGTGCTGGTGCCCTTGTGTCCGATCTTAAATGCTACCTATCCAAGCGATTTCTCCAATAGCATGGTGCCTAGACTGTGGGGAGGCCAGGTGAGACCAACAGCATACCTAGCTGGAGTCCTCGCTTTGAATGGTTTTCTGCTTAAATTCATCGGCATAGCTTTCGGCAACAGGGTACTCAAGCTATGGTACCTTACTCCGACCCTACACTACCTTAGTCAGGTGGATGCCTTTCGGTGTGCACCTACCAAGCTACCTTACCTACCTTGAGGTAGCCTGCTGGTGGTGCCACCACTTGCTCCTGCCCCAAAGTGACAGAAAACCCCTTGTTCCATCCAATGACACCTACCTGCTGCCCAAGGTAGTTATCAACAGCAACTTTCCAATGTGGACATCTCGCCAATATGGCTGACGTTCTCCTTGATCTACTCGATGCTCGGCAGTCTACGAGCCTCAATACCGATGCCAATGCTCTGTTCAACCCGACAACAAGGTCAACCAAGCTCGCATACCTGTCCCACCTCGCTGATCAGAGTCCGGAAGCACTAGCCTCGACTGAGCCTCAATCCCTGGCCCAGACATCACATTCGCTTCTCCTCTCGCTCCAAGGGGTCTCGAAGCGCTCTCACAAATCCATCATCGACTCGGCTTCAAACCACACTGGCCTGACCCGCGCATTGCCCACTCTTGTTGCAGACACGGCAGACCTGCGCAATGCCATTCCCAAGCTCGAATCAGAGGCCCTGCGCTTTTCCACCACCTACAGTAAATCCAGGGACAATGAGGACTTGGCCGAAAGGAAACGCGCCTTACTGCTACTGCGCAATGTTGAACGTCTCGTCGACGTGCTGGAACTTCCTACCCTCCTCTCTTCCGCCATCAATACTGTTCCTGCTAATTACGCGTCCGCCCTCGATCTCAATGCCCACATTCGGAGACTTCATGGCTTGTATTCATCTTCGCCGCTGGTCGACCTCGTTTCCCAACAAGCTGACGAGGCCATCGTGAAGATGACGGCCGATCTCATCGCTGCGCTCAAGTCCCCTGGACTCAAGCTGGCCGCATCACTGCGAACGATCAGCTGGCTCAGAAGAGTGCTTCCGGACATGTCTTCAATGAGCTCCGCGAGCCGCAGTTCTCAGGAACACACCCTCTCACTACTTTTCCTCTGTTGCCGTGTAGCCACCTTGGACGCTACCTTGGGGGCTTTACAACCCCTTCGTGAGCTAGCTGATGACGAGAGGCAGAGGCAACAGAGCGCCAATCAACAGTCCTGGTCAGGCGGGCAGCAGACAGAAAAGTATCTCAAACGCTATGTCGAGATCTTCCGTGAGCAGAGCTTCAGCGTTGTCTCCATGTTCAAGAGCATATTTCCTAGCACTGGATATCAGACCGGAACTACTTGCGACGAGGAGGATCCTTTCAGACCCATGCCGTCAACGCTATCGACATTCCCACTTCATCTTGTGGAGATGCTTCTCGAAACCCTGACAATATATCTTCCGGTTGTGAAAGACCAAGCAGCAAGGGATAGTATCCTCACTCAAGTGTTGTACTGCTCAGGGAGTTTGGGCAGGCTCGGGGGTGATTTTGGGATGTTATTGGCAACCTTGGGGGACGAACACGAAGTAACGAAACAGTCTGAATGGGTTGACATAGTCAAGAGGCACCGATTACTTTCTGGACGCCTTGAATCGGTTATCGGCGACTTCAAGGCGACAGGGGCCAAAGAGGCATAAGTCCCGAGTTGTTGCTAGTCGTGGTGACGTGCTCGGGGCACTTTCAAAGGAGGATGACTACAAAGACGCAAGGCAGGGTTGAAGGCAAGGTGGAAGGCGAGTCCACAAAGCGGAAACTCATCTCCATCTCATGAAAGGGAGTTTCGACAGCATGTTAGCCATCGTAAGCAGTTGGCATTATGTTTCTCGCTGCGCTCGAACAGCATCAAATCGGCAGACGAGAGCAATATGCTCTCAAATAGCTCACAGAAGACAACCAGGGGTTCAAGTTCCTTCAATGTTCCATGTGTGAGCAGACGTCGAGAATCGGGCCAGGAACGCCGGGCCTGCCGGAGGCTACCTGACTGGAAAGACCCGGTCGGACCCATAGGATTCATATGTATATAACCGTCATTACATCCCTGACTTTCTGCTAAGCGTTGCCCGATACGGCTAGCGAGTCAGAAGCACCGACCTGCCTTGACGACCTTGCCTTACCTCAACTTAGCTACCTCATGTGCTTATGTAGATATCTAGCTACCCTGCCAGCCGTTCTGAAAAGTCATCACAACTTGTAATCATCATTCCCTTCTCATTCTGCCACGAAGCCCGTCACATCTGCTTAGGCAACCTGTACATTTAAGATAAGAACATCTTCGGTTATTGACGCAATGACCTTTGCTTGTAACACTCATTTCCACACATAAAACAAACTCGCCGCCGCACCACCCGATATTGCACCGCAGTTCGCCCAGTATCGTCTCCCCGTCTAAAAGATACGACACCAGCTCTGTCAGAAGTCCCCATGTCTCAACAGGCGACTCCGGGCCGCACAAAATCATGTAAGAAAAGGACAGGCACACTCAATCACCTGTCACTGTCTGGTCATATGCATGACTCCCTGCGAGCTGCCACTTTGAGATTCTTCTCTATACTCACCTGTGTTCGAGGTTGCGCTGACCTGTCCCTCTCCTCTCACAGCTCGACATTTCGTTGCTGGACTAGGTTCCGGCATTGCATCGGCAGTGCTACTGCAACCGCTTGACCTACTCAAGACTCGTGTCCAACAATCTGGCCACCGGTCACTGACGTCGTATCTCAGGGAGGTTGCCGCTGCTCCCAACAAGATTCAGACACTTTGGCGCGGCACAATCCCGTCAGCCCTCAGGACCGGCTTCGGTTCGGCCCTTTACTTCACATCCCTCAACTCCATCCGCCAGCATGTTGCCCAGTCGCGCTTATTGAGCCAAGCCGCCGGCAACAGGGCAGCACACTCGTCCTCACTACCGACGCTAACCCCATCGGCCAACCTGATCGCCGGCGCCGTCGCTAGGACGTTTGCCGGTTTTGTTCTCATGCCGTTGACCGTCATCAAGGTTCGATATGAATCCAATTTGTATTCCTACAAATCCCTGCTCGGCGCGTCTTCGGACATATACAGGACGAATGGTCCGCGAGGATTCTTTGCTGGCTTCGGTGCCACCGCCGTCCGTGATGCACCGTACGCGGGCATGTATGTATTGTTCTACGAGCTGCTCAAGAAGCAGCTTAGCAGTCTGTCTACTCGAAGAGACGGCCACAGTCCGAATCGCCCCGTCGCCATTACAACATCACATGCAACGCTAGTCAATTTCAGCTCTGCCGTCATGGCGGGTGGAGCGTGCTCCGTCATCTCGAATCCTTTCGATGCTATCAAAACGAGGATCCAACTGCAGCCAGCTGTTTACAGAAACATGTACCAGGCTTGCCAGAAGATGGTTTCGGAAGAAGGTATTCGGTCACTTATGGATGGTGTTGCGCTCCGCATGAGCAGAAAGGCAATGAGTTCAGCTTTGGCCTGGACTGTGTATGAAGAACTGATGAGAAGAGCTGAACGCACTTGGTCCTCAAACTTGACGACGACAACGACAGCGGAGCCATAGCGAATACGCACTCCAACATATAGTCCCAACTTGATCCACTGAAAGAAACCCAACGTCCCGCAAAGACGACTTGTACTAGTAGCCGATGGTATATATCCCCCCCGAGAAAGAACAAATAATCCAGGAAGCCCTAATAGAGTGTTGGGCATCTAAGAGATCTTGTGTGATGTGATTGAAAGATGTTGTCCCAGACACCAACACCCATCCTCGCCTTCGATGCGATAAGAGGGTTGTTGTACTCGGTCCCAATGCTGACCAAAATGTCGCCGACACCCCTTCCTCCTCAAATCATGCCGGTTTCGCTCCCGCAAGGTACATGAGGAGCGCGGGTGACTTGCTTCTCTTCCGATCACTCTTCTTTCTAACCCATTCGAACTCTGGTTCGTGGCGGTGCGACTTCTTGTCTTCGATCTCAAGTACAAGCTTGGATGAGCGCTTCTCGCGAATCGACCTGGTGTGTCTCCAAAGGGTGTCTTGCTCCCATTCCGGCACCCATCGTCTGATGAGCACGTAATCAGGATCCTGAGATAAGTCAGTAGATGCAACAGAGGTCAGTCGCCTTCTGAGTATGCTTACAACATCCATTTCCCATTCAACCTGATATGTTCTCAAGGTTTCAATCGAAAGATGCTTCCGTGCCATACGCGTGTAGGTTGGGCGATTCCCAGCAACGAGCGCGCTTTCATGCTGGACTGGTCTTTGCCGCGGGGGCTCCGGAATCTTCTCCTTCTTGAGGATGGCAGCAATAGCCTTGTCGTCAAGACCTGATTTACGTAGGTCCTCCTGGAGACGTCTCTGGTACTCCTTCTCGCGCTCCTCCTTCTCCTTCTTCTCCTTGGCCAGCTTGTCCAGCTCCTTTTGACGCTCTTCCTTGAGCCTTTGCTGAAATTCCTTTTCACGCTGCTCCTTTTCCTTCTTCTCTTGCGCAAGTCGATCTGCCTCCTTTCTCTTGTAGCGTTCTACGGCATCGGCAGCTTCCTTTTCTCGCTTCTTGGATAAGTCTGCCTTCCGCATGTCCTCTTGGTACTTTTCCAGCTCGATCTTGGTCTTGAAGCGCTGTTCTTCAGCAGCGCGAGCCTCCCGGGTTCGGATATCTTCGAGATCGCGCTTGGCGCGTTGGAGCTCAGCTTCCTCCCGGAACTCCTTTTGAACCCGGCGTTCCTCTTTCTCGCGAGCCTGACTGATTCTGAGTTCCGCCAGCTCTTGTCGAGCCCGTTCTGCCTCATAATCCTCACGGGTCATGTAAGAGGATGAAGGTGAGCGGGAATGAGACGAGTGACCACGGGAGTGAGAACGGTGACGGCTGTGGTAGACCTGCATGTGGCGGTCGTCCTCATCATCGGAAGAATGTTCGTTGTAAATACGGTTGTTGATAATTACAGGAGCCGGGGCCGGAGCGGGGATGGAACCCGGAGCGGGACCCGGTGGAGTGGAATGGCGCTCACGGGAACGCTCTCTTGACCGAGTGCGAGTGGTAATGACTGTGCGCTCGGGAGCCAAGAAGCTAGGCTGTTGACCTGCTGACGGGTAATAGTTCCTACTGGGTCTCGATCTCGCTTCGACATAGTGAACCTGTGAAGGCGACGGTGCCCGACGCCTCGAGACTCGTATGTCAAGGTCATCCGAATCGGAGTAGTAGCTGTTACTCATGGTGCCTAAAGCGCCGAACGGCTCAACAATGGTTGAAGATAGGATGGTGTGGGCAGCAGCGGAGAGTGAGAATCAAAGGTTCAGGCGCTAGATACCTATGTGGGAAACGATAGGTTTTATGAGAGAAGACACAACGACGGCGAGCAACAGGAGGGGGGATAGGTGGTTTAAGAGGGTTTGGGGGCGGAAGAGTACAACTCGATGGTCTTTTATGCTTTTTCTGGCTTAGGGTACTAGAGTAAGGTAAGAGCTGAAGGGGGGCGACGAGATGCGCGACATGAGGTAGTGGTCGCCGGTCTTACATGGCTGGCATGGTAGAAAGGGGAGCCAGTGGTTGGATTGGCCATAGTGCGAGGATCGAGCCAGGTGGAGGGGATGGCCCACCAGGCCGAGGAGGGAAGCTAAGCGACCAGGTTAGGAGAGGGGGTTTGTACAGGATGGCAGGGCCTAGGGTTCCAGCACCGTCCGAAGAGGGAACCCAAGGTAAAGGTAAGCGTGATTTAAAAGAAGAAAAATGCTGAGGTACCTAGAGGAGGGTAAGGTAGGTAGGGTACCTACCTACCTCACGAAGTTGCTGTGAATGAGGGGCTGTGATGTAGGAGCGGCGTCGCGGGGGCAGGGACCGCTAAGATAACTAGTAGGTAGTTCGAGATGGGAAGAAAACGGGCTGAGATAGTCTACCTGGGTACACTAGATAGGCGGACGCCAACGGCGCAGGATCATATGCCGGCCTAATAAATTACAACCCTTGGTCAATGGAAAGAGTATCAGGCGTACGCGCCTAGCAATTCGAGCCTGGCATCTTCGAAGAGGACGCAGGACCAGAAACATACACCTCGAGATAGTGTACTTTCCTCACTCCCATCTGTTGGTATATCGGGATCAATGGTGGGGCAGTCAGCGTCGGCAAGGCACGGGGCCAACCGTTCATTCGTCGGTTCATCCGCACAACGGATGGGTGACCGCCATCCCATCTGGAGGGTGAAGATGCGTCGATACGGATACCTAGTTCTGGACTTCTCGATATGTACTGGGTGCCTCCTTGACCTGACCTTCGTACATACGTAGTAGTTCGGCGCAGGGTGGCAGGTGGCGGGTGGCAGGCATGGCAGGGGAGGTACGCAGATATCCTCCCATTCGAGGCCCGAAACGGCTTAGCCTGATGTCGTAGGGCTGCGCGATTGCTGACAGAGTGGGTTCGACGGCCTGTACGTAGTATGTACTCCGTACGGAGTACTGAGCATGGACGGAGCACGTACGTAGTACGGAGATTGAGAAGGACGGGCTTCTTACCTAAGGTACCTTACCTAGGGAACCTCAGCACAGGGCGTTCGCTATAGGCCAACGTCTCATAAGGCAACTTGAGTTGTTTCTTGGTACGAATGGAAGCGAAATGGGTAGGTGGTGCTCTCAGAGCATCGTTTACCTTGCCGTGATACTTTGTCAGACCTTGGGTAGGGAGGCAAAGAGGGTAAGGTAGGCACATGTTGTAGGCGGATGGCACTGCAAATCCCTTGTGGGGTCAAAGTCTCCAACCCCGGCCCCGACACCCCGGTCACCCCCTCACCTCTGACCCTCTGAGTCCTCCAGCGATGAGCGGCAAGCCTTCACGCTCCAGCAAACCGCCAACCATCCATCAACCCAACCCACCTGACCAGGCAGCCGTTTTTGGGCCCAGTCGTGGCATCTTGCGGGAATAGTCTGGCTGGCGCAGTGAAACATTTCACTCAGGCCATGGATTCCTTGCCCTGGCTAGGTGGTCGAACATGGACCAATATCGTGAAGCACCCTTTTCGCGGCTGCCTACGTACCCAGGTAATTATAGCAGCCCGAATCAGCTCGTGTACCCTCAAGTACCAACGGGCCAGGCCCAGGTCACCAGAGCTGAACCTCAGCCGCCGGGTCTTACCTTGGGTGTACACACACACAGCCATGTACCACAAGAGGGTTGACCGCCGGTAGTTTAGAAGGTAAGGGGAGACAACCAAGATAGTTTAGATGGGACTGCTCTTTTCAGAAGCTGTTGGCGGCAAACTCGCCCCAGTCGCATGGTCGACCTACTAGACCCTTCTGCAGGCCCAGAGCGATTAGAGTATTGTATCATCGATGGACGGAGAACGGACAGAAGATGGCTACGTCGTACTACCTCAAGGTAACATACGCTTGAGTGTACCCAAGACCGCCTGGGCGGCGGTTGTCGAAATGTCCCACCAGAGTCTTATTCTCCCACCTCGCCCAGAGAAGACCCATCTGCTCTAGACGAACATACACGCGAGACCGTTGGCATTGCACTTTGCCGACGTGGGAGAGAGAGGCGCGGCGCCTAAATCGTTAGCGCACGACACTCGCTCCTCTTCGTCTAACTGTCCCACCTCTTGTCAGTGCGTACGAGTATCTCGTCCCGATCTTCAGTCACCTCACAGAGTCATCGCTCATATGAGAGTCGTCACCGCATGCTGACACGCATGAATCGAGCTCTGCATCGCAAAGAGTGCTCTCGGTCGTCCGTCACAGCACCGCTGCTTGCGCCCTCATGTTCCCGAGCCAGTTCCAACTGTGGTCAATTCGATGCTCGAAGAAGAACCCCCCCCAGACGAGGCTAGCATCAAATGGCCACGAACATGCACAAGTACTTTGCCCGCGCCGCATTGCGAGCGATGGCTCGAGAAAATACGTCTTTAAATGCTGTACTACCCGTACTCGGAGCCGCAGAAGTGCTTATCAACTCGGTGATGCTTGTCGTCCCATCCCGATGCTTAAAGATGATTGCATGACAAAACATTCCACCTCCGCCTCTTCTTCCGTTGTCCCTGATTCGATAAGCTCCTGACCCCATCATTTGGCCCCCCTTCCTCTGGTCTCTTACAGCATCTGTCATCATGACTGCGCCTTGAGCATCTGGTCAATGTGCTGCCGGCTGTTCTTGTACGTTGTCTCCAGGTAGTGCAGCTTCTGGCTCAGCTTCTCAACCTCGCCCTCCCTATCCTTGATTTGGCCCTCCAGCTTCTGTGTAAGCTGCGGGGTGGGCAACGCGACGAACCTTTTCCGCCCCCGAGGCTCGGCGTCAGCAATGTAATCCATATACTCTGGTCCTGGCTGCAGCCGCTTCGTCATCCGACGTCCGTCAAACACGGAATTCGGCTGCAGCGCACACAATCACAAAAACAAGAACATGGGTCAGCAGGGAATTTACGTACATCTTGCCGACACCTTCGTAGACGTTCAAGTTTGGGGGCAAGGTGGAAACCTCATCAAGCGTCAGACGGACCATGCGCATTTCTCGTTGCTTTGCCGTCATCTGTGTGCGTGCCTGGCCAATCTGCTGCTGGGCCACCATTGCTTGGCTTTCGATTTCTCGAATCAGCTAGAGAGATACACGTGTGAGTAGGCGGTAGCTGAAGCGCAGCGTAGAGACCCAAGGCAAGGGGTTCCATCGTTGTTGTCCTCTCACCTTTTCAAGCGCTTGGTTCGGGATAGACATGTTGACTTGATGTAATAATGAGACGGTTCCTGGCGGGCCACGTTGGATCGATGCCCCTGGTACTGGCAAGTGGCTCTTTGTAGCTCAAACGATAAAGCTGTCGCGGAGGAAGTTGTGGTTTTCGCAAGTCAACTCAGTGTCGTTGGCGACGATGTTGTGGGCAGGCTGAGGCGTGAGATCGCAAGTATGGGATGGGGTTTTCGTTTGGCTGAAGCTCGCGACACGGTGGGGATAGTTAGTGGATGGTGAATGCGTGTACCTTTAGTGTGTAGTGGATTGATTCGGAAAGGCGGTATCTAGCTATACAGGTAAGGTATTATTGACCGTCACAAATTAAGCCAGACTTTAAGGCACTCCTTGCCTTCCTAAGGTACCGTGGCACCGTGGGTACCTCCCAGTGGCAGTAGGTTTTGGTAAGATATGCAACAAGCAAAACTACCTCCAGGGGTTTATGCATTTATCGCTGCGTCATGCTCACTGGCTCCGCACTTACATTACCTTAGGTTAACTGGCGTACCGCGTAAGGTAGGGCACCTGAGGTGAGGTAGATGAATAGAAAAAAGGAATTACACTTCCTTTCACTTTGCAAAAGGTCACACAAGTTTTACATTTTGTGTCTGACTCAATTCGATTGCAACTGATGGGGGTATTTCTAGTATGCCGTAGGTGCAGGCATATGTCATCCTGCCATCTGCGCCCAGCAGTGCTGGCTGCTAGATACATCTATCTGCCAATGGTTCTAAACAGGGCTCCTAGAGGTGCTTGTGTCTTCCTTTGCTTGAGAATAGGCACGCGACTGCTGTCGCCAAGCCCTCGGCTGGTGTGCCGGTGCAATCTTGCCTTGAAGGCTACGGATTGTCTGTCTGTCCACCATTCATATCCGGATTTCTCAGTCCGACTTCTCTGCTTTGACCACTAGCGGTATCGACGAAAGCGACCTTGGCCAGACGAGTTTGTACTCATCTTCGCGGCCCTCGAGACATCTGCGTAGCCATATGCCCCATGTAATGTAGTAGTAAGCTATAACTCATTAGCACATGTCGGAGGTGGGAATGCCGTATGTTCTCTGATCCATACCTCCTATACATCACATTAGCAACGGTCTTAGTAGGAATGACAGTACCGCTCCAATCGGAAAACGTACCAACACCTGTCATCAAGTGCCACCAAGCATGGCCCTCTAGCAGTGCACCCCAAGGCAAACCAAGCTGTCGTCGCCATTGCCTTATCTGGCTGCAGAACGCATTGTCAATATTCCAAATGAGAAACCCCATGAGGAAGACACTGAGTCCTAACCAGTCATGTCAGCATTGTAGAATAACGTGTATGGTTTGGGGCCGTTCCAGAAGACCTGTTCCAACCATGATCCACATGGTTTTGAGAATGATATCGGCCTTGTCCTTGTTTCTTCGTGCCAGAATTGGCCGCAGCTGCGTCTCCATGACATACAAGCTGCGTAAAACAACCTGCACAGCGTCAGTCAGTATTTCGACAAGGAAGGCATTCTGAGCGCTGGTTGAGTTCGAAGTATTACCGTTGCTGTCAACGCCGCATAGCAGGCCTGGTGGAAAGCCGGATCTTTGGTGATGTGGTAGTAGGACTATTGCACAGTGGTCAGAACGTTAGGTTCTCACAATCATCACGCCGTGTATGGCATTGGTTCTGAATGCACCCACCGTGATAAGACCAGCCAAGAGAACGAGACCGCCGCCCAACAAGACCGAAAATCTGCTAGACTTTGAGAATGAAAATGTTGCAAAGACCATGAGACACGTGGTGTATATCATGGATAGCTCGTCGATAAGCTGCATAGGGTCTAGCCATGTAATTTTGTCAGTTCAGTATTTCGCGTGCAGATAGCAGAATATGTCCTGAGCGAGGAGCGAGGACGAACACTTCAAGGATGTATGGAAGGCAGTAGAGCCCAGTCCAACAATAATGTATCCTAGATATGCGACTAGGAAAATGCGTGGGTGACCCTGAGATACGCAGTTATGTACGCCTTTGAAGCCAAGCCATAGGAACAAGAGGTTGGTCAGGGTCTTTTAAAGGGTCAAGTCAGTAAAGATGAGAGCTGACTGAAGCAGGAGAATATGGCAGTAACTTACATTGCAAACTTCAGCACAGTAATAAGAAACTACATAGTCCTATGTCGACAAAGGTAAGCAGGGGTCAGCAACACCAAGAATGGCAAAGAGCGGTTACACCGGTGGACGACGAGTTTCTCACCTCTTCGCAAAAATTCAGAGTTGAAGTTTTCTCTCCCCAGTAGCCCTCTGGAGAATCATCATTATACGCCACACGCAAGGCCTGGAACAGTGGAGATGAAGCCATTTGTAACGAACGACCTTGGCCGGATCAACCCGGGCGAGCGAGACAAGAGGCAGAGGGAAGTGAGCAGCTGTTTGTCCAGCTCAAATGGGCCCTGGTTCAAAATAACGCAGATTTCAGCTTTGTTGAGAGAGAAAAAGGGTTGTACTGGGTCTTTGCCACGGTTGCAGAGAATGTGAAGGAATCCGAGTGCTCTAAAATCTTTTAAACTTTCCGTCTACGTGTTCCAAGCGGCACCGGAGACACAAAGGTGAGGAAGCAGAACAGCAAGGCGCACGCCCGGTAAACACGGAGTATACAAGCGAGAATAATAGGACGAGAGAAAGGGAGAACGGGAGAACGGGAGAAGGAGACGGGGGATGTAAAGAGGGGGAGTACCACTAGACTTGTAGAAAGTGCCGGGTCGCTCGGAGGGAATTTGAATCAGTAAGTATCTTGCAATAGACTGGGCCAGATTCCGTCGGTTGAGCTCCAGTTGCACAGTAAAGAGATAGACAGCCACAAGCACTTTGGTTGGTACTGCAGGTTGCAAGTTAAAGAGGGCTGACTGTCTTGGACTAATTTGTGGCCTTTGCCCGTTCGTTGTCTGATGTTTAGAATTCCGAGGTATGAGAGCACGACGAGCGTAGGGCCTGCAACTTTGTGGGAGTAGGAAAGAAGACGCACTACGATCAACGCAAGTGATTACGGACTTATACCCCAAGGTAAAGAATGAGTTCTGCCCATAAATCAACGAAGATAGCAAAGACAATCCGTGGTACCTCGTTGGTTACACGTTGCAGACACGACTCGGTTTAGCTCCGGTGGACGTTCCGAGGCCCCAGTGGAGGATGACGTACCTTAACCTCTTGCAGCCCCTAAGGTAGGTACTTCGTACCGGGATGCAGTGGATGCACATATGCACGTTACTCGCATGGGTAATCGGATTGGAGGCTCCTATAAGGTCATTTTCCTGCTTACTTTCATGCCCGCTGGAATGAGTCTCTCAAAATTTACGAGTTGGTATTGTGGTGATAGCAGCGCAGTGACCATCTTTCCGACTGTTACAAACCACAGTGATCTACCTTGGAGAGTCTATGGTTCGCGTCAACCTAGTCACGACTTGCGTTGTTCTCCGTGTAAAAGGTCTCCATAGAACGCCATTAGCCACTTTAGCAAGGGATCCTTGCAGAAAAGGTACTGTTTACCCATCAAGTCGTCTTGATGAATCCGTGCCATGGAGCTAATTACCAGGTGGCCGGAAAGATAGATGATGGCATACGGAGTACAGTACCATAATATCACGACCTTGGGCTATAGGTGTGCCTATTCGATCACGTTGGACTCTTCTAAACTGCCTCACTTGAACCAGAGGCAAATTTCAATGTAATACCGGAGCTGTACACCCATTGAGTTGGGTAAGTGAGGCGCCCAGCGTGAAACGGTCACCCCTCCTTGAGCTAGATCTTCGTGCTGTAAGAAACTGCGGTTTTCTCATGTATTGGTGCCGAGTGTACTCTGTACGTAGTACCTTACCTCCCTGCCTTGCCGCGACCCGACACGGAACCGCAACTGCGCTCTGCCCAACCTAAATAAACGATATTGCTCCAGCTCCCTTACATGCCACGTTGGTTGTCCATGTGAGCATTCTTTGTCTACACACCTGCCACAGAGAACCAATACATTCATCCTTCCACTTCTTCTCAGCCGATCGACGCTCAACCCGATTACTAGCTGCCGCGCTGTACTGCACTGCTCTTCTTGGTCGCAACCGGCCCACCTCCAGCACCACGAATCCCAAAGCTTCTTGTTGTTTTTCGTCACCGAACGCGCAACCTCCACACTTTCTTGTCGAGTACAGGGAAGACTGTCAACTCTCTTCTTGCGAGTCGGTTGTACGGCAGCTCGTTTCACTCCCATTGTATCACGGTCTTTCAAGGCGTACTCGAAATGTTCATGACCTCCGAAACACACAACAGCCACGAGGCATAGCCCAGCCGTCTTCGTTTCTAGGTATTCAGGACCGATACATCAGCCGATCATCATTATGGCAGCCCCCGCAAAGTCGACGCGTTGGGGCTCTTTCCTCCAGCAGGCTGTTGCCGGCGTCGAGGCCCGTCTCGATAACATGCTTGCTGAGGGAGAGAATGGAGCTATCCCACCGCAAGCTCCCCAGTCTGCTACAGCTTCTACCACGGCTCCCTCCAAGGACCAGCAAATAAGTAAACCACTCCCTCCCTATGGCTCGAACCGTCATGGAGTGATACCACAACAATCGTACTGACCACATCTACTTCAGGCCAGCCTCGATCCTCAACGAGCAGCCGTACCAACGACCGCCTACAAGAGCGTCTTGCAAAGGCCATTGCCGCTAAAAACACCCAGCCGTCCGATGCCCGTAGCATAACATCCGACTCCCAGAGTGCTCGACCGAGCGCTGATGGCGGCCGTCCAGGAGCCGGTACGCTTCCAAAACGGGGTGCCGATACCATCAGCCTGGCAAACACTCCAACGCCGGTAGCTGTCACGACTGAGGCCGCCGTACCCAACAACACCGTGCAGAATGAGGGCGATATCGTCGAGGCTTCCAAAGAAGATCCTCTGGATAGCCAGCGAGCTCCGAATTCGCCAGAGAGGAGCCGAGACTCGGAGGCTCAACAAGACAGTGTCTCTGCCGCCCCCGGCCAACAACCAGAACTCGAGACGGCCACCACCTTCACTGGCAACCGTCTCGAATGCCAGGATTGTGCCGTACTTCATGCACAGGTCGAGGCTCTGGAAGCTAGAGCAGAACAGTCAGCAAAAGAGCAACAGGAGGAGATGCATCGTTATGTCGAACAGTTTGAGTCCATGCAGGCAAAGCTGCAATTCCTGGCACGGGATGCTACAGACGCCGCACGAACGTCTGCAGCGGCGGCAGCTGCGGGGACTCACGAGCGAATACTCGCCGAAAGGGACATGAAGATTACGGCTCTTATGGACGAAGGCCGGAATTTGGCCGCTACTGAGCAGAAACATCGGGTCATTATTAGGAAACTCAGGGCGCAGATCGCAGGCGACGAGAAAACTTTGGGAGAGCTACGTGCTCGTCAAGAAAAGCTGATTGCCGACATGGAGACTCTGCGGCCCCGAGCCAGTCGCGTTGAGGAACTCGAACAGTCGAACCAAGAACTGCAGATCAAATCCAACGGAATGCAAGATGAACTAAGCGCGTTGCGCGATGAAGTGTCAACTAATAAATCAACAATGCAGAGGCTACGGGATGATCTCCGGAGGGCCTCTGACCAGGCTACTTCCGCTGTAGGCAAAGCGACCGAGGAGGCGCTAACCGCCGAGAAACGCCGCGTCAAAGATCTTGAAGATACCGTTGCTGCGTTGCAGCTGGAGCGAAGCCTCATCGCTGGCCGGGCAAAGGAAAGTGCAGCAGAGGCAGAAGCAAAAGCAGCGCGCGCCGCCGAACGCGCCCGTGCCAAGGAACTCGAGATGAAGGGGGAGCTTCAAGCAATGGAGGGGAAGCTGGAGGCGATGCGTGCGCTAGCAGAAGAAGCGTCCTCTGGCGCTGTGGGTGATTCTCAAGTCAAACTTTTGCGTCAAGTGGAAACACTGCAGACACAGCATGCCATTGCTGCCGAAAATTGGCAGGGTATCGAGGCCAGTTTGGTCGCAAGAGTAGCCAACCTTGAGCGCGAGAGGGATGATGCTCTGCGACGCGAATCAGACATGCGGAAAAAGGCTAGAGAGACTGTAAGGCACATGACTATTCCTCCAGACCATTTGCTGGAGCTACTGTCATTGAGTATCACTATTCTAAACGATTACAGGCAACCCGATGCAAACGCCAGGATGAGGAGCTTCAAGAGCTCACGAGCAGGTTTCCGAACTATCAACGGGATATCGAGAGTGTTCAAGCTCGTAATGAGACGCTGCAGAAAAGAGCAGAGAGCGCCGAGGCAGCGCTATCTCAGGCGAGGCTCGACCTCGAAAAGCAGCAGACAGCTTGGAAGAATGAAACCGTTGAGCCCGACCGTCGGCCTTGGCTGGAAGACCACTTACCCGGTCCTGGATCTAGAGTTCAGAGTCGCCCAGACTCGCCCTTGCTTTCCGTACCTACGCGCACGATGAGTAATGACCTGCTACTTCTGCACAGTGTATCTGGCAAGGGTCGTAAGATATCGACCCCGACTAGCGGAACAGACGGCTTCCAAGAGGGTTCACAGCTAGGGAGAAGACTGTCAAGCCAGCCTCCAGCCAGACCGCCCATGCTGCCCAGCGGCTCCAGTCTACCGGTTGCGCCGTCCATTACTTCGTTTGAGTTGCCTTCAGACTCGTTGCCTACGCCCACATCCTATGCAGGCGACAAGGACGATTTGTTTGACGGCGTGGAAACATCGTCTTCACCTCGCCAAATGATGCATGATATGGTTTCTGTGTCAACGGTTGGTGCAGGGCCTTCAGTGCAGCTGGTCGAAAGAATGAGTGCGGCCATTCGTCGTTTGGAAGCGGAGAAAGTAACGTCCCGAGAAGAGCTGGCGCGCATATCGGGACAAAGAGACGAAGCTAGAGCCGAGATTGTTTCCTTGATGAAGGAACTGGAGTCGAGCAAGACGGCTTCAAGACGGGTAGCCGAGTTGGAGGGACAGGTTGAGGATTTGAACTCGAGATACCAGACAACACTAGAATTACTCGGGGAGAAGAGCGAGCTAGTAGAGGAGTTGCGGGCTGACGTGCAGGATGTCAAGGCCATGTATCGAGACTTAGTAGAGCGCACCATCAGATAAAGGAATATCAAGTGCTGAGCACACAAACTGAACGTATTCTTCAAGCGGCTGTCATTTGCTGCGAGTCCATGGAAGAGTGTGTTCTCACCACCGCCCTAGCCGGGGAGGCAAAAGAATGTATGCTATTCCTATGGCTAGCTCAGCTAACTCATAGCTCTATGCCGTCCTCCTCGGCTGCGCGTTCAATGAATCGGCGAACCTGCAAAGGCTCTCGAGCCCCCAGATTAGCCAATGTAGTTTGTGAAGCAGAAGTTCTGTCGAGCTGATATCATCACGTACCTCCTTATCAGGGGCCAAATCTAAAGGGAGACATCCATCATTGTCCTTTTTGTTGATCACGGCGCCAGCCTTTAGCAAAGCTACTGCTGTGTCACCTGAGATAGAATGTCAGTTGTACTTCATATCGCGTAGCTGAGGCTGGGAACGAGACGCACCGTGGCCCTCAGCAACAGCGTGGTGCAGGGCAGTGTAGCCAGAAGCGTCGGTGGCATTGAGAGGACTCCCGTGTTTGATCAGAAGTGCCACCATCGGAACTGAGCCTATGGCGGCAGCCCTATGTATGGCATACTGACTGCGTTTGTCGCGGATCTTGGTGGACGCGGGCGGGTCGTGGTTGAGAAGCTTCTTTGCGACGTCCAAGTTGTTTTTTGACGCCACAAAGTGCATAACACTCTGTGATCAACCTGAATTAGGTCCTAAACAGGAATAGCGATAGCAATAAAAATCCGTCCTACTCACCTGTCCGTTATGGTCTGGAAAATGCAAGTAATTATTAAAAGGGTTCAAATCTGGGGGCGCAACAAGCATAATGAGAATATCTTACTCTTCAGGTTGACATCGGCGCCCTTTTGGAGAAGTAAATTGACGAGATCGTCGCCATCTTTGAGGCTTGCAGAGATCATCAGCGGCGTCCAGCCGCTGCCATCCTGAGTGTTGAGAGTTGAGCTTAGTGTATGTTTACATTCAAGTAGATGGCTGGCAATCATGAGATATCCTCAGAGCAAAGCCTCCTAGAAATCTCACTTACTTGAACATCAGGGTCAAAGCTGCGACTCTGCGTAAGCAGAATGACGATGTCGATGCAGTTGGAGGACGCGGCCCAGTGTATGGGAAGCCTGCCGTCATCATCTTCTCGTGCAGCGAGCTTGGGCTCCGTCTATAGTCCGAAGTCTGTCAATGCATACCCCTTGCGTGGCTTCAGAATATAAGCTACCTTGAGTATGGTTTCTGCGATAGATACTTCAAGTCCGGTTAGCCACATTCTTACGACAAAGCGTTTTTGAGAAGCAAAACGATGGCGGCTGCCTTCTTGGCAGAGTAAGTACCTTTGCCCTCCCGAGCTGCAGTATGAAGAGGAAACTTGTCCTGGGTCTCTGCCATTTTGACTGCTACCTCCTTCTGGTTGTAATCCCCGACAGTCTTGTAATGGTGACCAATGGTTGGTGGCGTGCTGTGATACGAAGAAAACTGTCGTTGCGTGAAGTTGATGTTGGGGTCAAATACCGGGGGAAGTCAATTCGGTGAGAGAGGAGTGCAAAGTTGTAGGTGGAATTAGACTGTAGGGAGTCGCGAGAGATAGTCGATCACAACCCGGACGAAAACCTATTGTACCAGGAAGCCGAGTTCGAGAGGGAACTAGTAGCGATTGGAATTTTCGCGTGTCCCTTGTCCGAGATGAAATGATGAAAGGTAAGGAGGGCAGTTATTGAGGTAGCCAAGAGGAGTCCGTCCTCAAGTAATGCAGGTTCTTAGGTAAGGTGAGGTAGTTGGTCACTGCCACCTTTTCTTCAATGTGTACAAAGTTCAGCAACGAGGAATTCACTTCAGCCGCCGTCCGGAGCCAGTAGGCAATGAGCAACGTTGTCACTACCATTACCTCACATAAGTAAGGTACGCAGCAAGATTTCTCAGTCATGTAAGTGACCAAGCCCACAAAGAGGTCTGGAACCATTGTCCAGTGAGAGAAGCTAGATGATAGGTGAGATCTAGGTTTATACGTAGTATACGTCCAAGGTAGTGAGGCTAAGGCACCTTACCTTACACCTTTAACAGCTAAGTCAAGCTTAAAGAAAACCGGTTGTACGTCATTTACTCACGGTTGTGACTTCGTTCAGAAATATCCATGACCATGGATCTCTCGGTAAAGCGACGCCTCAAAGGGTCATTGCTCCAAGTCCCAAATTAGGTACCTGAAGCCTGGTGGTACCTAATTGAGGCAAGGTACCTCCCTCCTCTACGTAAATACCGTTAGGTACCTACCTAGGTAAGGTAAGGTAGGTAAGGTAGGAGCGCACACCGGTACCTAGGTACACGGCCATAGAACTACGTACCCACTCAGACCACCGCTACAGATGGATATCCAATTCAAGACTCGGGCGCGTCAGTCTTTTTCCATCCATCCCATCTCGTTCCGCCATACCGCGACGCACCACAATAACCATTCGGCACCTGGCACATAAACAAGATCGTCGAATCAACGAAAATTCAACCAGAACGCGCTTCTGCGATACTTCCGCTCCATTCACCCAGTAAGGTCGCCACTGCGATGGGAGCCGCCATGGCTGAACCGACGGCGCCCTCGTCCGACACCACCCCTTTAAGGTCCCTCCTAGACGGCAATCAGAAGACGACCAGAACAATTTACCCCCAGGCTCCCGGCCTCTCCTCCAGGAAACGACAAAGAAACGAGCCTAGCGACTCGTCGACCGAGAGGCCCAGCGACGAAACGAGTGCCGATCGCCGTTTCAAGCTCGAATACTTCGGGGTTCAGCAGCTTCCACCAGCTCTTGCTGCTAAGCAGCCCGCTCCCACGAAGGCACGGCGAATCAAGACACACTTCAAGCCAGAGCAGGCTGTCGTCAGACGAAACTCTGCACAGAAGCTACTTGAGGGCCCCAATGGACCCGGCCCTGGCGCTCCTCCCATCAATAACGAAAGACCCGGCGCCAAAGACAACAACTCCCAGCTTTCTCAGCCCACAAGTCTGACCCGAGCGGGCGCGTCAACTCCTCACGGCGCCAGGCCTGAGTGGCATCCGCCATGGAAGCTAATGAGAGTCATTTCTGGTCACCTGGGATGGGTTCGGAGCTTAGCGGTCGAGCCAGGCAATAAGTGGTTTGCAAGTGGTGCTGGCGACAGGACTATCAAGATCTGGGATTTAGCCACCGGCTCCTTACGCCTGACTCTGACTGGTCATATATCGACCGTACGTGGCCTTGCCGTAAGCCCGCGCCACCCTTACTTGTTCTCCTGTGGCGAAGACAAGATGGTCAAATGCTGGGATCTCGAGACAAACAAGGTTATCCGCCACTACCATGGCCATCTAAGCGGCGTCTACACACTTGCGCTTCATCCTACCTTAGACGTACTGGTCACTGGTGGTCGAGACGGTGTCGCAAGAGTCTGGGACATGCGAACCCGAAGCAACATTCACGTATTATCCGGCCACACCGGGACCGTATCGGACGTCAAGTGTCAAGAGGCCGATCCTCAGGTCATGACCGGCTCTTTAGATGCGACAGTGAGACTTTGGGATTTGGCTGCCGGAAAGACCATGGGTGTCTTGACGCATCACAAAAAGGGCGTCAGAGCCTTGGCCACGCATCCCTCAGAGTTTACGTTTGCTAGTGGTAGCACGGGAAGTATCAAGCAGTGGAAATGTCCCGAAGGAGCCTTCATGCAGAATTTCGACGGCCACAACGCCATCGTCAATACGCTCAGCGTTAACCAGGAAAACGTTTTGTTTTCGGGTGGCGATAATGGCTCCATGAGTTTCTGGGACTGGAAGACAGGCCATCGCTTCCAGGCTCTAGATACTACGGCACAGCCGGGGTCTTTGGACGCCGAGGCGGGCATCATGAGTTCTACGTTTGATCGCTCCGGGTTGCGTTTGATTTGCGGAGAGGCCGACAAGACGATCAAGATATGGAAGCAGGATGAGAAGGCGACACCTGAGTCACACCCCATTGTTTGGCAGCCAACACTGGCCAGACGCAAGTTCTAGATACTAGCAAAGGATTCATGTAGAAGAAAGTAGGATCGGCTCGGAAACCCCAGCCTTACTTGTCATTAATAGATACCCGACCCCAAAGCCTGCCTGCATTCGGGACCTATATTTCAGACGGTGACCTAGAAAAACAGACCCAAGGCTTTTACTTCTCCATCATCTCGAAACGCCATCTTGACCTCCTCATCACCCACAGCGAGACGCACCTTGCTTGGTCGTTCTGGTTTATGCGCTTCTAGTACAATGATGCCAGCGCCCATTAGTTCAAGCGCCGCCTGAGGAAGCGCCAGAGACTGGACTACCCGAATACTACCATTGCCCTGGCCGACGTCACTTCCTGATGGCCCCGTCGACAGAGCTCCGAGGATGGTGGATTCGAGAGTCGCCGTGTCCAGGTTGATGATGCGGTGTATTTCGTCCACTACATCGCCGAATGTCGTCTCAGCAGTGCCGCTTCTTTGGATTCTGACTAGCAACGAACACAGGAATAGCTTGGGTGCGAAAGGTAGAGACCGAAGGTGTTGTTGGACAGGATTGGTCGTGGCCTCGTTGATGGCACGTTTGATTGTGGCGATAGTAACCTTGACTGGCGCACCTGATGGTCTGCCTTTGCTCGGGGTTGATCGTCGTGCCTCGGGGTCAACTACAAGCGTCTCGATACGGGTGTCGCCTTCGGCGAGCTCTACAGCTCGTCTACAGATGTCCAGGGCTCTTCTTGCATCGCCGCTTACTGCAGCCACCTTCCGGCTGGCGAATTGAATAGCGTCTGCCTCCACGATGCTCCCGGGCACACATTCCAGCCTGGACTGAATAATCTTCATGAGCTGTTCATGGTTATAGCCTGGGAATGTGATTCTTGTCAAGCCTGCAGGGTTTGTCACGTCAGCTCTGAACACTTTTCGCAATATGCATGCATGGAACTCACCTATGCGACTGCTGATCTTGTTACTCAGAGTTCTCTCCGGAAGGTCCATGGTATTCGCAACGGCTAGGACAATGAGCCTGCTATGTCGAAGGCCAGGCCAGTTGAAAAAGTTGTACATGACGCTCTGGTTCTTCGTCACCAGCTGGTCCAGTTCATCCATCAGCACAACGCACGGCGTCCGGCGAGGACTTGGATTGCTGAACTCTCTCTCTAAAAGGTCGATGGCTTGTGTAGGACTAACTCTCTCGCCTTTGAGTGCCTCCCATAGGAGGGTGTAGGACTGGTGAGGGTCGGTGATCTTCATGCCATTGATTTCTACGAATATGAAATCGTCAAGCTCGTCGGCCTTCACGCTATCTTCTAGGCGACATATCACTTCTCGGACAGTGGCCGTCTTCCCTGTCCCTGGAGTACCAGCAATATAGATGCAGCTTCCTGAACCATCCGCAATGGCTGCCTCCAGGTGTGAATACACCAGGTTGAACTCGCTCTCCCGGCAAGGCAAGCTTCTTGGTACGGAGGCAACGTGGAGCTGGGAACGAGCCAGCTGAAAAGGCGAAGACTGCAAACGTTTTGGTGACAGTACTCTCGTACCTAAAGGCGTGAACTCGAGTGTCTTCTTCACCACGATCCTGCATGAACACGGCCGGTTAGGCGAGGCGCCTGATGAATCAGGGATGGAGCAGAGACATACCGTTTACGAGACCCAGGTGTCGTCGTTATCCGGGCGTCTCCCTTGGGCGTTGAATGTTCGGCCCTCGGGGTTCGTTTAGGCGTCGATGCACCCGCCGAACGATCTGTGGTCATCTTGTATGACTGCTCCGGTGTTGATTGCCTCGCTGCCTGACGATGTCGCGTCGACTTTGTTTGTGATTTGACAAACCCGATCAGATCAGAAACGCCCTGCTCACTCGCATGATACACTTCTTCCCACACAAACTCATCTGTGTAGGTTGCTGTTCTTGTGTTACATGCGCGACGGCAGATGAAGGTCTTACCATAATCGGGTGAGGATCGAGGTATCTTGCCCGACGGGTACTTTTCATGGAAAACCCGATGAGAAATGACGACGGCTGTGCCGTTGACAGCGGCGAGCGGATTTACATCCCACGAAGGTGAGATGTATAGTTCATTCTAGATGACTCAAGAGTAAGCGTTGGCACCATCAGTTAGCCTGGGTCGGATGACATACAGGCAGGAAATCCGACCGTTTCCTCTCCTTGTTACGGATTTCCTTCTCTGTCGAGAACCACATGAAGTTCGCTGCTTTTTCGCCATCCTCTTCTTCTAGAAACTCGCAGACTATGGCGACCCAGGCCTCGTTGGACCCTTCCGCCTTCAGTAGAACACAGTCGCCAACGTAGCACTCAAACTTGCCCATTCGGGCACCCATGATCCGCGTCTCAGTGTTGGCTCTCCTCCGCTTCCGAGAGGTTTGCGTGTCGTCGCCATGGTCCTGTGAGGTATCCGCATCATTGGACTCGAAAATCCATTCCCATGGAAGATCATCTATGCCAAGCTCATCATCTGAGTCGTCCCTGACAACGCCTGTAGACTTTTTTGATTGACGACGCCCATGTGGAGCGGTTTGGGTTGCGGAAACGCCCATTGAATGCTGCAATAAGATGCTGCAATTGAGACACTCATTAACTAGTTATGTAGTCAACGATGCAGTGTTGTCCGCGGCGAGGGACCAGTAGTTTTACAGGGAGGTTGAGCTTAAAGCACGTAGACTTCCACCCACGCAGATAGTGGGGACCCAAGGATTTAGATATAGCACACAGTACACGGCATTACTCGTAGTCCTTCTCAATAAATAAAAACGTCAACTCAATATTTAAAAAAAAAAGAATTACTTAGTTTTTTATTAATTTTTTTATATATTATGTATATAAAAAAGCTTAACTTATTTTTATTTTTTTTTTTATTTTTATAAAATATTAGAGCGTTTTTATAATATTTATTTATTTTTAATTCTACCTCTACTTATCGCTCGGGCAGTTCTCAATATCAATTACACGGTATTAATATACAGTATTAATAAATACTCTTACTATCTTAGTAAATATTACGTACTATATATTAATTATAATTCTGTTATTATAAATAATATTAAATACTTAAGGCTTTTATAAAACGAATAATTATTATTATAATATTAATAAAAAAATATTGTTATTACTAATTTAATTTTTAATTAAAACGAAAACTTTATTAATTTTAATTTATTTAAATATATTTTAGAATACCCCTTTAGGGTCCGGCCCGCCTTATTAGGGGCTAACTTTGCCCTTATAAATAAGCTAGTTTTATTAGGGTTAATATTGAGTTTTTATTATATATATTACTTAATAAACTTTATAATTAATAATAGCCGGCTATAACTTAATTATTATTAACGATATAATATATTAATCTTTTTTAAATAACTAAATACTACCCCTTATTTTTCCTCTTATTTTATTTAATAATAACTCTTTTTAATATTCTTATTTAATATACTCGTTTATACTCTTTTTAAGTTCTTAATTATATTATTAAATCTAAGCTTATTTATATTTTTATATTATATTAAAGGGTACTAATAAGGGTAATACTTATTATAATATATTTATTTATTTTTATAAGTCGATATTATAAAGGTAGTATTTATTAAAACGGTTTTATAACTCAGTTATTTAATATAATAATTATAGGATTAAACTTTTATTAGTTATTAAAGAAGCCCTAGGGTTAATGAGTTATTAATATTTTAATATTTTAATAAAATATACTTAAGTAAGTAGATAATTAGATAGTAATAAATAACGGTAATAATAGATAGCGAAGGAAATAGCGTTTTTTAATTTTAATAAAAGAAACGAGGTAATAAATATATAGTATATATATATATAAGTTAAAATATTAGTATTATTTTTAATAACGGTAACGAGGGTATTTTAAATATTATTATTATAAAGCTATTACTTAGAAGGGTAGCGAACTTAGCTAGGTATAAGGGCTTATAAAGTAGCTATACGCTTAATATTACTATTAATCCGTAATTATAAACTTTATAAAAGGAAAGTTAAAAAGTAAAAGAAAATTATAAAAATAATCTAATAAGATAATAGGGTATTTATTAATACTATATATAAATATTATATAACTAATATTGAGAACTACCTAAGCAATTCGTAAAAATAGAATTAAAAATAAATAAATATTTTAGAATATTTAATATAAATATTATTTATTTTTAATATAATTAAAATAAATAATAAAAAGTCCTGTTTTTTAAAGGGTATAAAAATAAAATATTATTAAATAAAACGTACTTTTAAAATATAATAAAATTAAAGTTAATAATAAAACTACTTAAATATAAGTAAGTTAGGGTAATAATATTAAATTTAAAAGCTATAAGTAGGTTTATTAAGTTATTTATTATATAAAAATAAATAGTCTAACGAAATAGTAAGAGTATTTATTAATATTATATATTAATACTACCCTTTAGGGTCCGGCCTGCTTTATTAGGGGCTAACTTCGCCCTATAGGTAAGCTAGTTTATGAGGGTTAATATTAAGTTTTTATTATATACATTACTTAATAAACTTTATAACTAATAATAACTAGCTATAATAACTATTAATATTAATATAGCTTAAACTATTATTAATAACGTAATATATTAATTACTTTCTAAATAACTAAATACTACCCTTATTTTCTCCCTTATTTTATTTAATAATAACCTTTTTTAATATTCCTATTTAATACGCTCACCTATACTCTTTTAAGCTCTTAATTATATTATTAAGTCTAAGCTTATTTATATTACTATATTATATTAAAAGGGTACTAATAAGGGTAATACCTATTATAATATATTTATTTATTTTTATAAATTAATATTATAAAAGTAGTATTTATTAAAATAATCTTTTATAATTCAGGGTTATTTAGTATAATAGCTATAGGATTAAACTTTTAATTATTAAAGAAACCCTAGGGGTTAACGAGTTATTAATATTTTAATATTTTAATAAAATAGGCTTAAATAAGTAAATAATTCAATAATAACAATAATAATAATAGTAGTAATAATAGTAATAATAATAAAATAAGGAAGCGTTTTTAACTTTAATAAAAACGAAGTAATAAATATATAGTATATATATATATAAATTAAAATATACGTTAACGAAATTAGTATTATTATTAAGAACGGTAACGAGGGTATTTTTAATACTATTATTATAAGCTACTATTACTTAAAAAGTAGCGAACTTAGCTAGGTACGAGGGCTTATAAAATAACTGCGCGCTTAATATCGTTATTAATCCATAATTATAAACTTTATAAAAAAAGTTAAAAAAATAAAAAAATTATAAAAATAGTCTAACGAGATAATAGGAGTATTTATTAATACTATATATTAATACTATATAATTAATATTAAGAACCGCCTGAGTAGCTAGTAAAAGTAGAATATAAAATAAATATATTAATACTATATAACTAATATCAAAACTACCTAAGTAATTAGTAAAAGTAAAATAAATAAATAAATTATATAAAAATAAATAATATAAGGACTTAAGAATATAAAAACGGATTTATTTATTATTTAATAACTTAACGGATTACTTATATTTATTTTAAAAATATTAAGGTTTTATAAATAAAGATATTTATAATATATTAATTATGCTATAATTTAGTATAATACGGGTTAAAAAGTTAAAAACTATAGTAATATAACCTTAAGTAGCTCTAACTTTAATAATATTATTACGTATTATTTATAATTATAATTAAATAAACGATTTACTATCTACTTACCTAGGTATTATATATATATTATAAGATTTCGTATTAATCTATATACTATTATTTTTATTTATTTAATTGCGCGTGTGCTTATATAATACTAATAAATTTTTAAATTTATAAGCCTTAGTTTAACTTTATTATAAAAAAGAACTCGAGGTAGGTTAGAACGCTATTATATTAACTTAATAAATATAACTTAATAAGGAAAAATAAACTAATAAATAGAATTTAGGGTACTAAGTTTTTAAGCTTAGTAGTTTAGTAATTACGTAACTTATAAGGGGTCCGCTTAGTATTTAAAGCCCGAGTATATAGGGGTTTAATACTTAATATTATAATATTACCCCCCCCTCTTAGTATAAGAAGTACTATTTATAATACTTAATTATTTATTTAAATCCTTTATAATTATCTTTTTATAAACTATTAAAATTTAATTAAATACCTATTATTTTCTTTTATTTTATTATTAATTAGCGAGGCTTAATACTTAACTTTTTTAAATATTAATAAAATAAAGATTAATATTAGCCTAGGTTTAGTTTATTAAGTACTAAATAATAAAGTTATTATAAGCTAAGGCTTATTTTTAAAAAGTATATTATAAGTTTCAAAGTATTAATAATCTAAGTATTATTATTAATGTTTTTATATTATTATTATAAATAAAGAAGTATTAGCCTTATTAAGTATTTTTAATTATTATCGTAACTTAAGTATACTAATCCTCTATTATACTTTTTAATTATTATTTTTAGATCCTCTTTTTAACTTAGTTTTTAAATAGAGTATTAAATAGTATAATCTTATAATTATTAATAATTAAAGCTTAAAAATAATAATAAAAATATTATAGTTATTAACGTTAATTAAATAATTATAATACGAATTATAGATCTTATTATTAATAAATAAAACCTTTTAATAATAAATATAAGGGCCTTTATTATGTTAAAGGGCTTTAAAGTAGTTAGATATATTTAATACTAATAATAATAGATTAAAATAAACCGTAGTAGCTATAATAAATTATTAAAATAAAAAAATCTTTATTAATTCCGGGACTAGTTAAATCGTTAATAAAATATATAATATTATAAAATAAAAATTAATTTCTAAATAGTAATTTTAAATTCGTTAGTAATAGCTTTTAATAAAGTTATAAAAAAGAAGTTTAATAAGTCTTTTAATTATTTATATTTATTAATAAATTTATTATAATAAGGGTTATTATAGCGTTATTATTAGCTTATAATAGGGCTAGGCTATTACTAGCTGCTATTTTTATTTATAAAAAGAAGTTCTATAGTAGTTATTACGACCCAACATGCATAACTAACCCAGAGGCCAGCCCGCCGGCCACGGCAGCTATAGCACACTATATATATAAGTAAAATAGGGATATAGCTACTCCTTATAAAATAAAAGAACTATAAAATAAGTTACGTATTAATAAAATAAAGATTATTTTAAATTAAAATAATTTAATACGACTTAAGAGCTAAATAATTATTCTAAATTAGATTAATTATAAATAACTTAAGAGATAAAGGATATATTTAGGAATAGGACTTATATATAATATAGACTTAAGCCGGGCTTAAAGAATAGACTTATAGCTTTTTAATAATTAACTTAGTATTAGATTTTACGATCGCTTTTAGTTATTTTTATTAAGAACCCTTTTAATAAGATTATAATTAATTATTAAAGCTTTATTTATTTTATAATTTATAAATATAATTTTAAAAATTATTTATAATTATAATACTATTTATTTAGTATTCGTAACCTTAACTTTTATTAATATACTTATTATAACTAGCTAGCTATAATACTTTAATTACTCTTATTTAATAAGTTTATTTTATAATAACTAACTAAATAA